GTGGCACCCCCTCACATACCTGCATGTCGCCAACAGATCCCCTCTGAGTCTCCTCTTCTCCAGGCTGAAGAGACCCAGTTCCCTCAGTCTCGCCTCATACGGCATCCCCTGCAAACCGGCCACCAACCTTGTGGCCCTGCGCTGCACTGACTCCAACCTGGCGAGGAGTCAGTGCAGCATATATCCTTCCTATAATGTGGAGCCAGAACTGAGCACAATACTCCAGTTGCGGGGGCACCAGAGCCATATAAAGTGGTAGTAATACCTCTCTCGATCTGGAAGCCATGCTTCTGGCTATGCAACCAAGAGTGGTATTCTCCCTCTTGACCACTATGTATCACTATAGCATCCATACACTCTGTGCCTACATCCAAAAAAAAAAAAAATAGCGTTTATTGGAGAAGCCCAAATCACACAGCATTTTCTGCACCGCAGATGCTGCCAGTGAAGAAAATTTGCTTCAAAGTCTCCCAAAAAGAGCTGAGAAGCCTTACATGGTCCAGTGGACAAGGTGACAGAGAGAAAACAATGAATCTACGTTATTATTTAGAAATACACTCACACGCCCTTCTGTCTTATCCCTCCGAGACCTGTGACCTTTTCTGTCTGTCTTCAGAAAGTCCATGCATGCCTGCATACTGGTATAAAGACCATGAACTAGACTGAAAACTCTCCTAGCAGCATCTGCGCCTGCCAACTATCCCCAGGTCTTGTCTGGTTAGGGTTGGGACAGACACACGCCGAGCTGGCCCCTCTAGCATTCTGTGGGCTTCATCTTGTGCTCAAGCCTTGCAAAGGGAGCTGAGAGGCCCACGAACACTCAGAGAACGCAGGTTGCCCAAGCCTCTTCCGTGTCAGGTGCAGCCACCCAATGGCCGCTACACGTGGCGTGGAAGAAGGGACCCTGTGGGGCTCAGCCGGAACAGTGCCCTGCGGGACCACAAGCATCGCCCCGCTTCTGGGCCACCGCTAGCAGTCGCGGGGCCCACCACGGACGGATGCCCCCCGTCCGACCTCTTGCAGAGGCATGCTGCTTGCGTGGCGCATGTGGCTTGATGCCCAGCAGGTGCCCTGTAACGCACCTGGTGCTCACCAGGAACTTGCGCTGCTGCAAAGTGGACCAGAATCTGGGGAGCTCAGCCCAGGGAATGCAGTGGATCCCCACACCCAGAGGGATCCCTCACACATCCCTAGGTCTGCCTTACCCACTCAAACGCTGATGAAAGATCAGTAAATGTGCATGGAGTTCAAGGAAGCATAGACTGACTTCTGTATTAGAAATTGCAAAATAAAACACTAGCCCTGGAGACCCTTCCTGGAACCAGTCTAGTAACATGTTTAGAGGAATCTGGAATACAGTGTAGAACCAGTCCTGAAGATGTGAATAGAAAAGAAATCCTGGGTCTTGTTTTGCCACCTTTTTAAAACCCAGTTCTGCTTTCCCATCTTAGGCATTCCCAGCCTGAAGAGTTAATTAAAGTGCTTCTCCACCTGCTTTTGCATAATTCTGACAACACATATCCTCACCTCAGGCTTTATCATTAGCAAGCCAAAAAAACAGTCTTCTGATTTCCTCAGCTATTACAGGAACCCAACCGGGAGGAGATTTCAAAGCTGTAATATCCCTACACCAGCAGTCTCTTCTTCTGACTCACCAAAAAGGGCTTGACGATTATCAACCCACACAGAGGGTGGAATTGGAGTTGTTACTTCCCTGAGAGCTGCTAAAACTGTCATCAAAACCGGCATTCCTTTTTCTTGGAGATAAGCAAATCCCAGCTCTTCCCATAAATTCTTGGGATATGGCAGCTTCCCTGTTTTTGGAGGGTTTCTCAGGAACAGCCAAAATAGCTTGTTTGGTTTTACAATTATCTTGATTTTGGATTATCTAACTGGTTCTCACCTTGTTTCTTGCCTTCATGAATGAAACAGGAAGCTTCAGACACAGAGGTGTTTGTCCAGGTCTGAAGGTTTCAATCAGATGAGTCATTGAGGTATTTATCGAACATGGGCATTTCTGATGTCTGTGTTGTTATTCTGAAAGTGTGTTCTAAGCTGTCAGATGGTGGTTATTCAGAAGTTGTGAAATTTCTTGTTCAGAAGACTCCAGTTCAGAGCATGGGAACATCTCTTCTCTTCCATTCTTTAGCAATCCAAGTCGCCCTACCACAAGTTATCCTAATTATTCCACACTTCCTCCTCTAGAATAAAGTATCCATCAGATTTATCAAGATTATTTCCATGTACACTCATTCAGTAACTTAGATCTGATTTTAAGCTTACTAAAATTGGTGTTGGGGAAGAAATGGAGGTAGTGACGGATTTTATTTTCTGGGCTCCAAGATCACCGCAGATGGAGGCTGCAGCCAAGAAATTAAAAGACACTTGCTCCTGGGGAGGAAAGCTATGGCAAATCTAGACAGCATCCTAAAAAGCAGAAACATCGCCCTGTTGAGAAAAGTGCATATAGTGAAGGCTATGGTTTTCCCAGTTGCAATGTATGGCTGTGAAAGCTGGACCGTAAGGAAGGCTGAGCGCCGAAGGATTGTGGTGCTGGGGAGAACTCCTGCGAGTCCCTTGGACCGCAAGGCGATCAAACCAGTCAGTCCTAGAGGAGTTCAACCCTGACTGTTCTTTAGAGGGCCAGATACTGAAGCTGAAACTCAAATACTTTGGCCACCTAGTAAGAAGGAAGGACTCCCTAGAGAAGAGCCTGATACTGGGAACAACAGATGGCAAAAGAAGAAGGGGACGGCAGAGAATGAGGGGGCTAGATGGAGTCACAGAAGCAGTCAGCGTGAACTTGAGGACTCCGGGGGCTGGTGGAGGACAGGAAGGCCTGGAGGAGTGTTGCCCATGGGGTCACGATGGGTGGAACATGACTTCACGACTAGCAACAACAAAATTGGTGTCAACCAGTTTGTTTCTGGTATGATTAAAAAAAAACCTATATGGAATTGCTCTTAATTCAAGGTACTTTTTAAGAGCGGCTTTATAGCTTGTACCTGTTTTATGACCTGTTTTTTGAACTGGGAATCACCCACAGAGCTTTGGCTGTGGGGTTTATAGAAATAAAATGCAAACATACATTGATTGATGTCAATGAGGACTATTCAATAGTTCCCGGCCACTAGAATGTAAGGTCTCATCTAATGAGCCATGGTCTACATAGAGGTGGTCTTTTGGGAGTATGAACTGGCTTTAGTTCTTTCATTGATAAAATGTGATTTTAAATTTTAATGTGATTTTAAGATTTTATCACTCGATTATTTTCTTACTTTACATTATATTTCTTATAATATGTAATTAAAATACATATTTTAGATTATATTTTAGATTACATTACGTGGCAAATTTTAATATAAAATGTTTATATTTTATATTTTATTCATTTTTTCATTCATTTTATTCATCCATTCATTATGGTTGTGAAACTTGGACTCTGAAAAAGCAGATAGAAGAAGGGTGGATGCTTTCGAATTGTGGTGCTGGAGATGACTATTGAGCATCCCACGGTCTGCGAAAATCACAAAGATGTCCTAGGCAGAGCCTCACCAAAATTATCACTTGAAACCAAGATCACCAAACAAAGACTGTCATACTTTGGCCATGCCATGAGAGCTGACTCACTCGAAAAGTCAGTCATGCTGGGGGTGGTCAGTGGAAAAAGGAGAAGGGGCCGCCCCAGCACCCGTTGGCTGGACGCCGTAAAGAAAACACGGGGTGGACATGGCGGTCCTGAAGGAAGCGGTGAGAGACAGAGGAATGGAGAGCAACGAGGCAAAGAATGGCCAAGAGTCAGACTTGACTGAATGGCTTACGACGATTCGTTTTGTTCCCTGCCCAGAAGAGTTACAGGAGTTCTACCTAATCCATCCCTCTGCCACGTACAGAACACAATGGCTTTCACACACCTTTCCTGTTGGCAGCTTCTGTCTAAAATTTGAAACACCGAAAGCAAAATAGCATCATTCATTTCTCTTCTCTTTTCTTCCCTTTTCCTTCTGGCTCAAAATGAAAGATTTGGCAATTTATATTCCCATTACACATGCACGCTAAAAGAAACTCTTGTTCCCACACCCCCAAACTTATGGGATTTATTATTCTTGCACCTAAAATGAAACTGTTCCCATCTAGAAACTATGCAGTCAGCCTTTTAGGATTACTCAATTAGTCTTACCAGGAGTATTATTTAGAAATGGGAGTGAAATGGGGATAGAGCAGGACCTTGTTGGAAGTAAAACTAGCATCTCCCATCCAAAATTGAAGTCCTGGGAGCAAAATGTGTTACGAGAACATCTTTTGGTGGGAAATGCAGTTTCTTGTGAAAGAAATTTGTTCAAGGATAGGCTGGACATGCACATGGTGGGCATGTCGTGAGCGGAGCCGGATTAAGCCGGAGGTCAGACTATATGTCCCAGGAAAGCCCTTTCTGATTCGCTCTGTTTCTATGTTTCTAAATGCCCTGGCTGGGAAAGGGGAGACAGGAAAGAACGTGTATATTCAAAACGAGTTCATGAAAAGCCAGTATGACCTAATGGACAATGTTCGGGACTTAGAAGGGTAACAATACCTTTCAAGGGGGTGGCTTGTGAATTTGTTACAGCAAAATTAGCAAAGAGAATTGTATCAGGTTAGAAGCTGGGAGCATAATCCAATTCTCCCTACAGAAGAGGGGTCAAGGCCAGGGGGCAGAGAGGAAGTGAAAGGTGATGAGGGCAAGGGACCTAATTCTCCTCCTGCTGTTCTCCGTGTTATCCCCACAACAACCCTGTGAGGTAGGCTATACTGAGAATCAGTGACCATCCCAAAATGAGCTTCATGGCTGAGGGGGCCTCAAACCCCAGTCTCCCAAGTTCCTGTCCAACCATCTGAAAATCTCGTGAAAAGGAGGAGGAGGACGAAGACCACACAACTAAATAAAAAAGTTTGCACCTAGGATGCCATTTAACATTTTAATTTCTTTTTTCCAAAACATGTCAACCACCACCTTGCTTGCTTAAAAAAAATTGCAGTGTTTTAAAATCTCAAAGAAATGTTTTCCCAGGAAATGTGGGGTGGGGGAAGGTAAACCTCAATATGGACTATAGTTTCCAGCACCTAGAAGAGGCAACCCCAGAAACAATGATCTTAAAAGCAGAAGCTCCCCTAAAAGGACATCACAAGTAATTTTGCCCCACCCCACCAGCTAAAACCAAAAACTTTCCTAGTATCCGCTCCCTTTCTGCCTCACGTTCTCCTGAAATAAGGGCCGTACATTCTTTCCAAAGAGATCAGTTCAATTTAAATAAATAAATACTGAGAAAGGCTGTGCAGCAGCCATCGCAAGAGCGGCCTTGACCATGGGTACCACGACGTGGACAACTAAACCCCATCATCTGGCAGGAGATGCTGACGTTCTGGGGGGACCGCTTGTTCAGACCTCCACTGAACCCAGTGTCTGCATCAAGGGGGGACATTAGGGTGCCTGTACAGCCAAGGGAAGAGAAGAGGAGCTCCGCAGTCAGGAGATGGTGGATGCTTGCAGGAAATGCGGAAGGTTAGGTAGGAAGCTGGGAAAATGCCACATTTATCCCGTTTTGGAGAAGCTGAAGGACGCCACCAGGTGGGCAGCCTAGCTCAGGGCCTGGTTAGATCGGCTTGTCCCAGATGCCTGGCTCCTATGCTTTTATGTCTGTCTATTTTCCTTCACTTGATTCTTCTTCTCAAGAGGACAGCTGGAGCATTAAGCTGGGAAGGGGAGAGGTTTCATCCGGGATCAAAAGCAGGAAAGGACCTTGGGCAGGAGTTGCACATGGCCAAAGCAAACCGGACGGCCAGTGCCCTGCCCTGCCAAACACAGTCCAAGAGCCACACGCGGCACCTGCTCGACCCGAGGCTCAATAAACGTCCCGCGTTTATTGCCTGACCTGGCCCACCAAAGCAAGCGCCCAGAGAGCTGCGTTCAGCTCTGTGCAAGCCGGGCCTCGTAGGAGCTGGCATGGGTGAAACGGAAAATGTGGCTGGCTTGTCTGGTGGGACACAAATTCCAGTATTCCACTTTTTAAAAGGCTTTCCTTCTTGGAAGCGGTTCCTTTCTTTCCCTACAATGGCTTTCGAAAGCCGCTTGGTCAATTTATTCCTCTCCACCACTGGTTTTCACAAGGAGAACACACGCACGCACGCACACACACGTATAAAGGGCAAAAGGATTCACCATCACAGCATGGGGACCGTTCGGGACAGAGTGCATGCACAGGACAAAGATGCTGGAGGCAGGTCAGATGGGAGGAAGATCGGCAGATGTGCACAGGGTGATGTGCATGAAACACCGCACAAGATCTCGGCAGAGGCTGAAGTTCATGGCGTGTGCTCTTAAAAACAGAGGAAGACAGCCTGGGATCGCAGTCCAATTGTTTTTACAAAGGGGTTCAAATAAGAGGGCCTGATGACAGATGTGTCTGTGCCCATGGAAGCCACTGGGCCCGACGTTCGTTCGGATGCTCTCAGTCCAAAACGAAAGCAGCTCTGCCTCTTCCCAGACTCCATCCGGCTTCCCCCGTGTTGGAAGTCCCAGTGTCAAACTACACTTTCATCACAGCTTTAAAGGTGACCTGGAGAAATGTGGCAATCAGGAGTGGGGCAGGGAAAAAACACACCCAGACAAGCCATTAAAGAAAAAGCTATAAAGAATTTCATTTGTATTTTGTTTATGTCTTCAGAAATATTAGTTTCCTTACCTACCCCACCCCAAGTCTCATTCTCTCTGCATTTTTCACCTCACTGAGCCAAGCCTTCTGCTGCTAGCATATACAATTCATTTATTTATTAAAAGCTTTTGTATGCCGTCCTATAATACAAAAATCTCAGGACGGCTTACAATATTTAAAAGAACAATTAAAACGTCTTCTAATAAATAATAAAAACAGAACAAAACAATAAATCACAAAACAAACAGAGCGACTGAAGGTTAAGTTGTTAAATTTTAAAATACTGTTTAAATAAAAAGGTTTTGGCCTGGCGCTGAAAAGAGCATAAACTAGGTGCCAGGCGTGCCTCTCTGGGGATGACATTCCAGAGTCTGGGCGCCACAGCAGAGAAGGCCCTACTCCGAGTTGATGACCTTTTTACCTCTCTTAGAGAGGGTTCCCGGAGCAGGGCTTCTCCCGCAGATCTTAAGGGGCGTGAGGGCGTATAAGGATGGTGACGTTCCTTCAGGTATCCTCTTCCCAAGACGTTTAGGGCTTTATAGGTCAAAACCAGCACCTTGAATTGGGCCCGGACTTCAACTGGAAGCCAGTGGAGCTGGTAGAGGACCAGCGTTATGTGAGAGTAACGGCTGGTCCCCGTCAGCAGCCTGGCAGCAATATTCTGTACCAGTTACAGTATCTGGCTTTTTCTAAATAAATAAATTAATTAATCTAATTAAATTGGCTACATTCTAAACCAAACTGCCATAAATTGCTATTTAGAAAACGAAGTGAATCCCTTAGATTTCTTTTTCTTGAATTATTTGCAAACACAAAAGAAATAAAAGCAATAGGGGACCCAAAAGTGTGGGGGGAAACACCTTAGATTTACGAAGGTGCTGGATTATGGCCTGAAGCACTTTGAGACTTTGGAAATTGAGGCTGTTCTGATCCGGCATAAAACCAGAACAGCTCAAGTGAACAGTGCCTGACCTGGGCTGGCTTCCCATGCAGAAGACCCAAAGGACGCCCTGGGGTCAGCATTTAAAAAACATGCAAGAGCACCTCGAACTGCACTCGTGTACCTAAATATCACATGTGAAGGTTTGATACGGTGACCTAGTTCACACATCACAATAAGCCACTGTGGGTAAATGGGCTCAGAAAAACATGCTGGCCGCCATTTTGAACGGACTGGCCTGACACGACAAGTTGTGTGGTCCACCGACAGCTTGTATATTCAAAATGGTGGACGCCAACAGACGCCGCGAAGCCTTGTGGGTAAATGGTAGCTGTGGAGGTACTTTATCATGATGTGTACCCCTTTTGATGCCAGCACAGAAAGCATCACCCCAACTGGGGCAGGATGAGGGCGGCCTCCATAAACAGAATCCTCACTGCAAGTTTAGTGGGCTTTTAAGCATAATCTTAACCTAAGTTTTTGGCAGGCTTTCTGGTATTGGCTAAGTTTGTTTTTTGTCTTCCTTCTTTGTCTTCTTTCTGGCTTTGCTCCCTATTAAACATGTGATGGCTTCTTATTTTTAAAGATGGTCAGCCACCTCGCTTTCTCTGCAATGAGGCAGCAATGAGGACTGATGTTCTTCAAAACAAAACATGCACTTGGTTATTATTCACATTAATGTGAATTAAATGTGTCACTCACCTCTTGCAGCCTCTGCCCTAAGGTTTCCTTGCTCTGAATGCTTTTTCTGTGGAAAAGCAAACACAGACCTATCATTGAAGCAAAAGACAGGAACCGTGGCTTGATCTTGGACTCTTCTAGAATATTTCTGGAGACCTGGGGTTTAGTTCACAAGACACAGGCAGTAGCTGAGTCCAGTCCAACACTCATATTCAACACAAGTAATTTCTTCAAAATCATGGAGGATCTAGGCTAGCTGGATGGTCTGGAATATATCTGGATGTTCCCACACAGGCTGGGTTCAGCCAATACAGCAAACAGGTGGCTTTTGACCACGGTTGGTCTGTCATGTCATCTAAACCCAGTCAGGGTATTTCATCATGGTAAGTGGTCTTTAGAAACCATGGTAAGAAACAACGGTTTGTTCTAGGGTTTCACCATGGCTTGTTGTGTTATCTGAACCCAGGAAACATGGTTTCCATGGTCCTGATAGGTGAGTACCACCGAATTCCCTGGGAAGAGCGGCAACTGCTGAAGTTGTTCCAGCTATCCAGCATCTGCATGTGGACCAATCAGAAGGAGGCAGGGAGGCAGGCAGAGAGTGATGCACTTTGGGATTGCATCTCAAGCACAGTGGTCGATGTCAGCAATGGGAGGACTGAGAGGGAAACCATGACAAGTAGAAACTACTTGAGTGTCCATCAGCTAGATACTGGAACCATGGTAACCAAGCAGTGTTGCCAGTGTTGGGTGTATTGTGTTGTCCGAACCCAGCCAAAATAACACACCTTGTGGTTAACCATGGACTGTCCATGAAGAGAACCCAAGCTTGGCTGCAGGGTCGTGAACTGTGGGTTGTTCACCCTGGTTTGCTGGGTTCAGGGTTCAATAACTCCTGTTCCAAAACCGATTCATTGTTTAGTGAAAACTCACCCCCACCTCATATTTAGCCTTGAAGGTGGGTTATTGTGTCGTCTGAACCCACCCCATAAAAAGCAGGTTCCCGGGTTACAGCTGGCATTGTGCACAGAGATGCTCACTCATGCCCATCTGTCCAAGAAAATGTTTCAGCCAAACATTTTGTTTGTGCAAGAAATATTTCAGAAAAGGCCAGCACTCAAGTCCTGCTTTTGTAGATGCATTCATCCCTGTGAACAGAAGGGACATGGAACTTTACCTGTCTATTTTGGTGGCTACAATCACTGTGAAGGTGCCCTCCGTATCAGGCAAGTATGTCGATGGAACGATGGCATAATGTCCAGAAGGCAGTTGGCACAGCTGGCTTACTTCTCGGGAGTAGCAGTGAGGTACACAGCTAACCACTGGCTCCAAGTGCAGGAAAGACGCTGGCAGCGGTGTCACATTGTTGTTATCACTGGGAACCTAAAAGGATTGCAAATCAGGATCTGAAGTCACTGTTTGAAATCGTTTTTCAAACCATGGTTTGGGTGAACTGTGGTTTGCTCTTATGTCTGAACGCATGAGTTCCTGACAAACCACAGTTAGGCCAGCTTTTCTGTCTCAAGAAGCAGGAGCGCATGCCGGCCTCTTTCCCACACAGAGTCCTAAGAAGACCGGAAATAGGAGCAGACAAGACACACCAAACTGTGGTTAGCCTCTTGTACACCCCGAAGTTCAGTGGGACCTTGAGGATGGGTTTGTACAAACCCGAGTTTCACGTTAGATCTGAACCTGGCCAGAAGAAGTTCCAAACATCGTACAGCATGATGATGTCAGTATTATACTCCAGTCCAAGGAGATGTGAAGAATCAGACTTAAGGACCCAGAGAGGCATCAACCGAGCTCAGCACTGCATCTCCCATTCCCCTGCCCCTGCCCTGCTCAGAGTTCCTTTTGGCTTTCAGTGAATGGGAAATTCACAACAGTAAAGGCCACGCTACAGGCAAACTGTTAATTAACAGATTAAAACACAGTCTAATTACTGGATACTTGAGGCACCTGCAAAGGGATTACACAGGCTACACCCAAAAGAAGACACCCAAGCAATTGCTTCAGTGGGTTGCAATGCTCTCTTTCCTCCCCCTTTCAACTCATTCCAGGCTTTCTGCCTTCAGGGAATACTTTACATGTTAATGTGGACCGGGTCTCCAGATGCTTTGGATTCCACCTCTGCAGACTCCTGGCCATTGGCAAGCTGGCAGGGGCCCCTGGGAGAGGATGCCCAAAGCATCTGGAGAGTTACCTTCTGCTCACCCCGGTCTTAAGGAGCATCCTCCATTTTCATCAGGCACATGCTGGCTAAGTCTCTTAGGGCAACCCCGTAGCCAAACGATGGAGCCCTGCGCATCGCCAGGGGAAAACGGCCTTTCGGGAATACTTCTCCGCCATTACTGATTTTCCATTAAGAAAGATGCAGAAGGTGGACAGCTAAGTTTTCTCCATCTCTCCTAATATGACACTGGATAAGCATAATTCATCCATGGAATCTCCTTGCTAGTTAGCTCTAGACTTGGAAGAACACTGGAAGCTTGGAAGAAACCTCTCTAGATGCCCACCAGGTTGCCTGTTTCTCTGGATTTATTTCTTAATATCAAAGAAATAATCTTTCTTAATGGAAAGTCTTAGCAGAGAGGGTCAGTTGTGACCATTTTTAAAGGTCTGTTTCCCAGCTGTGCAGGAGGACTTGGAAAGACACGATCAGTCAGAGCTGACAGACCTGGGAAAGCTGGACTCACGGCCTTCCTGTGTCCCTCAAGCTTTGCCCAGCAGTCCCTGACCAAGTGAGATCCTACCTGGAAGATATGAAACCCAATTGGGCGGCACTTGTTGTCTGGGCAGTGCTGGCGCAGGGCAACCCTGAGGCCTCTCTGTCCCACACCTGCTGGAACAGTCAGGGGGAAACAGGGATTGGTGTGGAAGGAGGGGAAGTTCCGGCTGCCCCCTGCATTCTGCCCTTTTCGCCAGCATCCCTCCAACTGGGCGGTCTCCCACTCGCCTCCCGGGAGCTCTTCACGGACAGCGTTCTCAGGAGCGGGCAGTTTTATCTCACTGCCGGAAGGAAAGACAAGGTGGGGAGGACGCAGGAAGGACCAGGGTGCAGGCAGAGGAGGAGAGAGAGGGGATAAAAGGACAAACGGTTACGCGGTCTGTGGTTGCCGCATGCAAGACTCGGCATAAAAACGGTAACACCAGTGGAGGCCGTCTACATTCCCGGTTGCGACCAGGTGTGCAGAAAGTGTCCCTGGGAAAGGTCAAGCTCTGCCTGAAGTCAGGAACTGGGCAAAGGTTAAGAGCACAAGACCGAAGGAGCCACCCTGTGGAGCCCTGTGTGCAGGTGCTGTGAAGCACTGTCCCTCTGCCACGCCGCGGGCCACGGCCTCTCTGTGCACACGCCGTGGGAGGCTGCCAGTTCTGCAAGAATCTGTGGACTTCCTCTTGGCTCGGCTCGCTTTCTGAGACTGGACTGAACAAAGAGGAAGTCCGGGAATTCTAGAGGGATGGATTTTGCCCAGCTTTGCCCCGACCCTAAAAGAAGTCATCCTGGGCATGTTTAGACAGAAAAAAGTACTTGAACTCCTGGCACCAGCAAGTCAGCATGGAATGGCAAGAGGACACGGGAAGCCAAGGACTTCTTGCTGTCTAGGCTGGCAGTGGATTGTCGCTTAAATTGACAAGGGTCCTGTTTTGTCTACTGCAGTGCCCCTCCTGGGTGGCCCCTCCTACCGTTCAAGCTTGTGGCCTTTTCCCACCCACCCAAGTGGCCAGATATCCCACACCCTGGGCTGACACACCCTATCAAGGCCTCTTAGAAAAGAGCTCTCTGGATCGGTTCTGTCTCTCGTAAAGATATACGTGTATTCTCCACCTCCCTCCCTGGATTGAGACCAGGGCTTTGGAAGAGAAACGGCTTTGGTCAGCCTGCTGGATGAGCTGTGCCGGGCAAGGGACAGAGGGAGTGAAACTCTGTTGGTTCTCCTGGACTTCTGGGAAACCGTTCTCTCCAGGACGGGGATTGGAGGAACCCTATTATGGGGGTCCAGCCCATTCTGGAGGGATGGACCTAGAAGGTGGCCCTGGGGGGCTTCCTCATCTATCTCTGGGGGTCCTGCAGGGGTGACATGCAACAGAAGCGAGGCAGCTTCTACCAGCACCGCTTCAGTCCTGACATGTCTCCCTTCCAGTGAAATAAGCGACTCCTTAACAGGAAACGTAACAACTGGAGTGGAGAAAAACAGTGCTACTGAAGCCGGTGCTTCACTGGGAAGCCATGCTTGACTGGTACGCGGGAATGGCGTGTTGGCAACAACAGTGCTTGCCGTTGTTCGAATTGTGGGGTAAAAAAATACCCCAATGTGCCCGAGTTATAGGCAAAACGTCCACAGAGACCATGGCAGGGCAGCAGCCCTGCAAGCGCGGGCTCTGTGCTCATCGACTGGCTCTCCGGGTTGGACTGGGAAGGCCCCCCTTGGACCTTGGAGAGCCGTGGCTTGGCTGGTCCACGTCAGCAACGCTACAACGGATAGACCCATGGTCTGAATCCAGGTAGGGGCCTCCTGTGAAGCCAACGGCAGGACTTCTGCCCCCAACACCCTGCCCTCTCCCACCTCCTTTTCGACGGACACACCTCAGAGAGATCCTTCCACTGGAGAACACCCGAAGCAAAAAGTTTCCCTCGGCATCATTCAGAAAGGTGCTGGGGACAACAAGGTAGTACCCCGGAGAAAGGTCACAATGCAGGTGCACCTCCCGATTGTAGGAATGAGAAACTGTGCCTGAAATCGGGGGTGCGGAGAGGGTCTTTGGAAGGTTGAACTGTTTCTTCTCAACCTGGAGGGTGAAAAAGACAACACAACTCTGAGCAGCTCAGTGTGGAAATAGCTAAGATTTTACCAAATCCAAAAGAAGAGTCAAATTGTCAAGCGAGGGCAAGAATACAACCCTCCGCATAAAGCTGGCCACACTGATGCCCACCCCACTGCACACCACGAATGGCCTCGTCGCCTGACCGTGAAGCCCTCTGGCGGCTCCAAAGCAGCGATGCACCGGATATGGGGCTGCTCCTGAACACAGGCCAGGGTCCTCGGCCTCGTACAGGCGCCACCCACAGAGTGGCAAGGGGATTATTAAGGCTCCAAAGGGAGTGGGGTGAGCCTTCCTGGGGCCCAAATGCTGGTGTAGTTTCTGGAAGGCACGTGTGTCTCCACCACCGCCTCCACCTCCAGGAGGAGGAAGTCAGCAAGATCCAGGGGGAAGGAAGGAATCCCTTCCTTCCCCCAGGTGGGGAAAACTGTATTCAAGGGCACCCAGGTGGTCGCACTTGCTCAACACCAAGAAGCATCCAGGAGAGATCTGCAAGGAGTGGAGAGGACCATTGCTATACCATGGTTAGCATGAGGGTTCCAGGGTCGTACATACAGATTCCTCCCCGGGGGTCTGCCGGGCTCCCGGACCCTCCAGATGGACGTTTGTTTAGGATTCCCTAAAAGGAAAATCCAGGGGATGGCTGACGAGTGGCAAAGCCACCCCTGTCTTCTTTGCGGTGTCAGGCTAAAACTGCCCTCTTCTTCCAGGTTTTAATGACACAGGATGGGTTAGGCCTGCTGCTTTAATTAGTTCGGGTTTTTAATGGAAATTGTTTTCGATGTGAAACTGTTTTATGTTTTTCTATATTAGAATTTTTGCCTGTTTTAAATTTGCACCTTCAAATTTTATTCTGCGTTTTCATGCATTTGTATTTTTATTGTATTTTTTTGTAGTTGATCAACTGTTGTGAGTCAGCCAGAGGGATTCAGCTATTGGGCAGCATAAAAATGAAAAGAATAAAGCGAAGGGCCATTTTCCTGCACCATCTTTATTTGGGCCAAAAGAGCGGCTTGTGTTCTGGAGGACTGACTCCTCTCCTGAGCAGTACTTTGGTGCTTGGGCCATTTGCTTCCCTGTTAGCCTTACTAGTTTGCTTTTTAGGAAAAGGGTTTTTTTGTGACTGGTCATGTCTCACATGGCAGCCATTTTGTGAATTGGCAAGCTCCCCACAATGGCAGCCATTTTGTAACAGCACCCACGGCATTCCACATCTGCTTGCTGACACAGAAAGAATATTGTGCATCGGTCTTGCCCTAGGCAAAGAAACAGAGCCAAATCCACAAAATTTGGTTGATGACTTTGGACCTATCACACAGAATTGCTGTTCCAAGTAAACAGGGTTAAACATAGAAACAGAGTGAGTCCTGGGCCATCTAGTCTGACCCCCGGCTCCAGCCGGCTCCTACCTTGTGCATGTCCAGCCTATCCTTAAAAACTTAACATTCCATGGGTGTCACTCTGAGCTTCTTGGAGGAATAGCATGATAGAAACATGAGAAAAAGCAATAACTAGTGTTTAACAAGCATCTTTCCATTTTGAAGAATATTGTAGACAAATGTGAAAAGGTTAAGGGATATTCCGCAAATATTAAAATATTATCACCCTCAAATGTGAAAAGACAACAAACCACTTGTAAAAAAAAAGCTTCCTGGGTGCATTTCACCCAATCTGCAATCCTAAGGCCTAGAAACTTACTGTTCGTAAATAAAATAGTTCCAGCCCCAATGCACCCCACCACCCTGGCTAACCCTCAAATTACCTTCCATATATGCAGTCCCACGGCATGGTAATTCTTCCCTCGGAGGCCATCTGCCAGAGATTGATCGGCTTCCACTAAACGGGGCCAGCTCCGGATTCTGCCTGCCCAATCCGTGCTATACTTCCGGTGCTTCTGCAGGAGAGCAATGCACACCTCGCTCTGCTCACAGACCCTCAGCCAGAACTTGGGGTTCATCGGGAATGTGCTGTTGTTACGGCAGCCGCCTGCCGACTGTCCCCGCACCCATGATCCATACAGTTTCTGGGTATGGCTCAGAACTCTGTCTGTTGAGAAGGAGAAAGGATACATCTACATCACTTCATTTTCTTCAACTGGTAGATCTCCCAGAAAAATGGAATATATATATCCAGAAGGTGTCAAGTGAGCCTCTGCAAAGAACAGCAAGCTAAATTTTTCCCCCTGATCTGCAATGAGTGGAGGAGCAAACTGGGGGTGGAGGGAGAATTTAGCATGGCCCACATTTTTAAGCCACGTGACCCATTTCACCCTTGCCCGACAGACTGCAATAAGCTAATTCTCACACAACTGTTCTCTGGATAGCACCCTTCTGAATTCTGCTGTGCCGTTCCCATGGGACAGCTAAAATATTGCATGGCATCTGCAAGAAATGTGTGTTCCAAACTGCACCTGTCTGAGAGAGATGTGCGTAAGAGGAACAACGATCCAAAGCAAACGGGAATTTTCGTTCACACGAACACCGAGTCTGCAAAAATTGTACAGAACTGACTTGTGCTGGGAAGTGTGCAAAGGTGACCTGGACAGCACACAGACCGATTCGTTCCTTCCTACAACCTGTGCGTGCAGTGTGCTTGCGAGAAAGAGGGCATATGTGAGCCGCTTCTCCTTTTCACTGATGGAGCCGGCCACAAGCGCATGTTTTCCGCACTCCTGTCCTTCAAACTTGGGCTTTCTGCGTGCACGTCCACCTGTAAGGCTTGCTCACAGGTTCCCTTTCACCCTTCCTCTTAAGAGAGGGGACCTGGCCCAGCTGAGATGCCAGAACGGATGATGGGGAAGAGTCAACGTGCACCAGGGGATCTGGGTGAGAGGGGGACTTTCCAGAAGGCCCCAGCAGCTCCATCCAAGAAAAGGGGCTTCTGCGGGATGCTGGATAAACAGGCAGCTGGGATCTTCGCCTTCTCTCACAGCAGAGACCTCGGCTTATCAGGCAGCTTCACAAACATCTAAGGCACGAGCTGAACACTCAGGCACACTGTGAAAAATCACGTATCTGACAAACTGGTAAGGGAGGATCAGGGTGGCCCTGGGAGGAAAGCAACACCGTACCAGTATAAAGGCTCTGAAGCTGCCCTTCTTCAGTGATTGGGTACCCTGTAATGATTTCGTCAAATTCGGTGAAAAATTCCTCCTCCTCGACCCAAAATTCTCCTTCCTGTATCTGGGACAGCAGTTCTGCGGCAACCACCGGATCCAGCTGGCTCCATCCAGGACCGCTGAAGAGCAAAGGCGAAACAAATCAAGCGGGGTATGAGCATCTTTGCAGAGCTGTCCCTGTACAGGACAAGCTGTCCCTTGTTCTGCTTTACCAAGAACAAGAGGAACGTAGGCCCCTGCCCCTAGGGGACTGCAGTCTAGAAAAAAATGGCACAAAGAGGAACTGGGTTCAGACAACTTGACCACTTGCACTCAGGGGCTGACCGGCTGCACGTGATCGTGCTGTCTGCAGACAGCTATGACTTGTTAGCCACAAACACACCATAAAGGGACTCCATGGTCTGCTACTGGGTTGTGAACAGTGGGCTGTTTATCCTGATTTGTTACCTCAGCTGGGTTCAGTATGATAACCCGCGTTTCAACAACTCATGGTTCGATGACAACTCACTCTGAAGCCATCCTCAAACTCTGAATGTGGGTTATCATGTTGTCCGCGGCTCAGCTCCCGTGCCGTTTGGTCCTTGCGGCGCACCCCACCTGGCCGTGTTTCTGCCCACCTGCCCCTGCTCGGCTTCCTGTCCTTGGCCCTTGGCTTGCTCCTTGTCCGGCCCTGCAGGGACTTCTCGTTCCTGACCGTGCCAGGCTCTGCGACGTGTGACTTGGACTTACCACTGAGCGTGGCTTTTGGACTTGGGACTCTGCCTCGCCTGGAGTTCTGCTGCCCTCGTCGCAGGGCTTGTGTCCTGCCTCCTGCACCCACGTCCCAGCCCTGGCCCTGGCTGCCAGCAGGTGGTCAGGGCAGGGGCTAGCACAGTCCTGGGCCCTGGCTGGGGGGCAGGGAATCCCCGCACGGCTGCCGCAGGCCTCTGATGACATGTCTGGGCTAATCCTAAGAAAAGGCCGAGGCTGTGCTTAACTGGACCTGAAGCAAAGCCAAGACTGACTTCAGGCCTACAGGTCAGAAACCATGAATCCAGCTATTCTCTTTCCCTGGCCAGCGTTTCATGGCCATGTTGCTGGTAAATCGAGGGTCCCCCACACAGGTTTTTAAAGGGGGAAGTAGCCCCCCCCCCAGCAGCTGTGCCTGTGCTGCTCCTCCAGAAGCAAGATCCCCGCGGAGTAAGTGCTTGCTTTCTGTTTTGTGACGGCCCTCAGGGGCCTGGGTCGGTTCCCCGCCAACAGCATCTGGCGAGGCCAGGAAGCTGTCTGGCCCCCGACCGGCGCCACTCACCCCTCTCTCCATGGCCCCGTCCAGCAGCGTCTGCCCCAGGGGTTGTGTATCCTCAGAAGAACCGTCTCCTTCCTGGACACCTTGGAAAGGTCCTGCATGTCGACCACAATGAAGGCATGGAACTCCCCCAGCTCGCTGGGACCTGGCAGGCGGAGAGGGAGGGCGGGAGCCGTGGGGAAAGATCAGCTTTCAGCGGCACACAGGCTTGCCCACGGGAACGGGGAGCAGGGGGGCGGGAAACGACCGCCATTTCTCTGCGCTCCGTGCACACAGAAAGGTGGACTGAAGGAGAACTTGGTGGCCACCCAGAAGGAACGGACGCGGCCCTTCAGCAAAATACCCGCAGTACCATGGTACCACGTGGCCTGCCACCAGGGAAGCACGCTGGGAACCTCCTGCCCCTCGCACCCTGGGGGGCACACCTGATCTCTCTCCCGTGTGCATGTGTGTGTCGGGGTGGGGGGGATTTGGGTCAGGATTGCAGTCCTAAGAAGGTAGGAAACCCATTTCCTGATTTTAAAATAGTCCTCCCGCACCTAAACATACGGCAGTTTATACAATAATTTCAACTGACATTTTCAAAAACAGTATGTTCTGTTACATACTAATGCATATACAATCATTATTATTGCATTATTAGTTAAAATTTGCATAATCACCATGATGGCTCTTTTTTCATCTTATCCCAAAACTATAATCCTTTGTTATGTTTTATCCATACTTTATCCTGTTTTTTTCTGAATGAGCTTTCGTCATTTTCTTTCCAGATTTGTAATACATGATAAAAATGAATTGTAAAAACTGATGGCACTTGGTTGTAAGAGGCTTTTTGAATGGACCCCACTCCCCACCCCAAATCTAAGTAAAACGATGAAGGATTTTCCAATCAAACAGCAGAAATAAAGCAATCAGACGCACTTGCAGGCATAAAGAAGCCACCAAATCAGCTGGAGAAAAATGTCGGCTGCATGCAGAAACAGGCGTGGACCGAGAGACAAGAAAGAGGTGCAGAAAGAGGATTGGAGTGGCTGGATCCAGCTCTGCAGAACCCCTTCTCAACGTGAGGAAGAAGCCTGGGTAACCCAGACAGGGAGGTGCAGTGTGGGAAGCCGCCTTACGAGCATAAAGAGCGCTGCTGGATCCGGCCAGGGTGCATCCAATCCAGCTTTCCATTCAGCCAGGGACTCTGCCAGCTGGGCATGGCTGCCTCCCATGGGTGCTCCCCCATGATGCCTTCGAAGCCGGCACCAGCCTGCAGCCAGCAAGGGCTGCCCCTTACCTTGCTGGGAGCTAAAGACAGAGCAGCTCATCACGCATTTCTCCTTCAGGTTCATCAGCCTCCTGAAAACCGCCTTCTCCAAAACTTTGCCAGCCCGTTCCCTTTCTGTGCCTCGGCCTGGGTCTTTGAGGGCCCACCTTTCTGCCAGGCCTCCGGTCAGGTCCACAAGACCATCTGCAACCTGGCCTGCCCAGAGCTGCTCGTAAGATCCGTGGACCCTGCAAGAAAGAGCACAAGGCAGGGGGGGTGTCAGAATTTCAGAGCAGAGCTTTAATGGAAGACACAGAACCCCGACTTTCTCGGCCGGCTCACCTGGCAAGCACTTGCCATCCACCACGGATGCTGCATCAGGCAGCTTTTCCATCCTCGCTTCATGTCATCAGCAGCCTAAGCGACCACAGATGCCACGGCTGGTGGCAAATTGGAATCCCTTCAGGCAATGCATCGGTGAAAGGCAATTTGGTTTCCTCACAGTGCTCAGCAAAATTAAATAGGATACACACGGGCAGAACGCCTAGCAATTTGTTTTAGTGCTCAAATCTTTTGCACCAATGCAGAGTGTAGACTTTTCTTTTCTTTTATAACTTATCTTTTATAACTTCTTTTATATCGTTTATATATATGTGTATATATTATTTATTTTATATTATTAATTTTAATTTTATATTGTTATTTTTGTATTGTATTGTATTGTGTTGTAAGCCACCCCGAGGCTTCGGCAAGGGGCGGCATAGAAATGTTCTAATAATAATAATAATAATAATAATAATAATAATAATAATAATAATAATATATGGGTAATAATTTATGTTGGAGATGTGGGTGAAACACAGGCACCTATTTCCATATGTGGTGGAAATATTAAGAAATTCTGGATAATTTTTAAGGAGATTAGTATGATAGTGAACTTAAAAATTGAAGCAGATTCAGAAATAGCATTGGTACTAATATTGCCGAGTTATTGCCAAACTCTCTTCAAGGGCAGCCCCATGTAAAGCACATTGCAAAAATCTATTCTGGATGTTACCAGAGCATGGCTGACTATTTTCAGGCTCTGCCTGTCCAGGTAGGGGCGGAGTTGGTACACCTGCTGCAGCTGGAGCAAGACACTCCTGGACACCAAATTCACCTGGTATTCCAGGGACAAACCCAGGTCCAGGAGCACACCCAGACCGTGGACCCTGTCCCTCAGGGGGAGTGTGATCCCATCTAGGACAGGGCAATGCCCCTCCCACCTGCATTGCGGGCAGGGGGTCTGTGACCCCCCCAGGGGAGCAAATTCCCATTGGTTGAGAGAGAAGTTGTGCTGAATGCAGTGTTCGACGCAGCTCGCTCCCTGGATCCCCAGCAGGGAAGGAGACTCAGGGCAAGCTGAGTCTTGGCCAGCCAAGAAGCCTTGCAGGGGAGTCGGTGAGTGAAGAAGGGCTCCCCCAAATTTGTGTTCCTTTATACAATGGTCCCAAAGTCAGGAGCTGTGGAAAAGGCCCACAACTAAGGGTGTGTGCATTTCGATCCGAACACAGATTAAGTCCCTTGGGCTGGGTTCCCACCAGACCAGATACCAGAGTATGGGTTTGGTTCTGGGTTGTTGTGTGGTGTGAACCCAGCCATGCTAGCAAGCCATGGCTTGTTACCCAGAAGTGCTTCCGCCACAGCGCCACACAGACCAACCCGCATGCCCTCCACGCACTTGGCATAGGCCTTCTCCAGCAGGGGGAGCCAAAACACATCATCGGTCTGGCACTGGGAGAAACAGAGCTTGCCCCCAAGGCACGGCAAGCGATCGTCTATGGTGACCTCCACCCAGTGCCCGAACTGCCAGATGCGGCACGTGAAACAGCCTCTGTACTTCTCATCTCTCCAGCAGGGCTGACCTGGAGGAATCACCTGTGCAAAGAGAAGAGCAGCAAGTCAGCAGGAGTCTGGGAAGGCACACGGTCTCCTGGTCTGGATCTGCAGATACGCCACTGAGGTATCACTATGGCTTATTGTGTCGTGTGAACCCAGCAAGGATGGCTTGTGCAAGGGTTAAACAACCCTTGCATAACCCTAAAGCAGCCCACAGGTTCTGTGGGAGTCTGTTAATCCTCTTGTATGTCACCCTACCCGGAATCACACGACACAATCGACCATGCCAGCTCCCCTCAGCGGCTTGAATCTTCGAAAGGGCAGCTGGTGCCTGCCACAACCCACCATGGCTTACGGACGCCATTGATGGGTTGTGGTGACCATGTGAGCCTCTGTGCAATCATCTGGGATGGGATTGTTTTCACTGCTCAATTTCTTCATTTCATAAGTTACGATGACTATATTACATTTATAATCCAGCTTAGCTGGTCCTCCTCCACTTCATTTCTAGTACAACAGCACCCTGAGGCAGGCTAGGCTGAGAGACCACAACTGGCCCAAAGTCACCCTGTGTGCTTCAGGGCTGAGTGAGGACTCGGAGCCAGATCTCCTGCGTCCCCAGCTGGATCTTCTAACCACACAACACCCGGGCATCAGTAACAATGAATGGATGGCAATTGCCACCACCTTATTAAGTCAATGCGCCAGTTTCAACGTGGTATGTAATATTTTTCAGATGCTTATCCCTAGCAATGATGTGAAAGAAAATATATACAGCACTGAAATACGCATGAATTTCCACATGAGATAGGAAGAGACGGAAAAGGTGAAGGTGTCCCACGAACCACCTCAGTGGGAAGGCTGGTTTCTGCCAGAACAGAGCACATGGTATCTGGTTCTTCAGATTGCTAAAATTAGTCAGTCTCCAACAGAGCTTCGACTTTGCTGCAGTACAGAAATGCAATAAACACAGAGCTTCTTGTAACCTTGCTGGTTTTCCCCTTAAAGTTAAACAATGCAAGGGCACAACCCTCCCGATAGCATCTGGGGGGCCATTCACAGCTGCAGCTCTGAGATTCCGCAATTTTGGAGCTGGAACTCCGAAGCCCAAGCTGCTGACACGGAAGGGACCATACCAGTCACCCCCTGCAGAGCTTTGTTTACCGCATGCAAGGCAATCAAGCATGATAACTCCCTCACCCTCTGAAGCATCAGAAAAATTTCCAATGCAACCTGAAAATTTCCACCACAAATTACCTCACCATGCTCATAGGGAGCGTTTCCAGAGGAGAAAACTAGCTGGGTTCAACAATCCACTCTGCATGCTCAGAGATTCATTCTCGGTGTTTCTGCACTTTGGTCAACACAGCACTTTTTGCAAGAAAGGTCTGTGGCTTTGAATGTGTGGCGGGAGAGACCCCAAAACCATGACATTCTGGGCCCTCCATCATTCAGAATTTCAGCCTAGGTTGTATTTCTTTCCCATAAGTTACTGGATAAACATTACACTTTAGAAAAGCACTTTGTTTGCCAGAGAGCAGACGTTCCATCCTTGCTGCCCCCCAACATACCACACGGACCCGATCCCACAAGAGGAAGGGTGTTCCCGCAACACACAACGCGGTACGGTGCTCTAAGTACCTTGGCTAGCAGGAATTTACTCTTCTGCAAAGCGGCGCAAGCACACAGGAACCAGCAGTCTCCCAGCATCCCTTGCTTGACTTGCCACTCATACTGATTATCCGAAAATAATCGCGGTGTGGAACAAATCTCCTGGGGGGGTGGGAAGGAGAAATGCCAAGCTGAGATCAAAGGAAGCATCGCAAATTCACTGTAAAATGCCCCAAAAGCACACGCAGAACTGAATGGCCAGAGCCCTGGATGAATGTCTAGATAGCCGTAGCAAAGGTCAGAGGCTGACCAGGGCAAGATAAAGGGCTGATGGGAAGAGAGCAAGACGACCGCGGACGGATGGGTTTGCTCTCACAGGGATAAAACCACATGGGCTGGAAAAAGGAGTGTGGACAGCGAAGAACAGGCTTGCGCTGTCTTGATCTACAGACACTTCAATAAAAGCTCTTGGGTTTGAATTCTTGCAGATCGTGTGTTGTCACTCGCAGTTAGACAAACGAGCCCAGGCCATCTGGGGCTCAAAACCCCTGAAGTGAAGAACCCAACAGGGCGGCTGTTAAGACTCTTACGCCGGTCTTCAGGAAGACTTGCTTCAGGGCCTATGAAGAACACCCCCAGCCCCTCGCTAGTTCCCGAGGGCCTGGGACTTTGCCAAACTGCCGTATCAGCTGAGCACTCACCTGAGGCCTCAGCCAACAAATCTCCCCTTGGAAATGAGCCAGTGGGGTAGAGTAGTTAAAAAAGAGAGAGTCGTCATTCGCTGGAAAGGTGAGGTCCTTGTACAGATCTCCCTCGAGAATGGACAGCACCCGGCTATCTCCCAGCATCTTCTGCAGAAGGCAACGAATTCGCAGCTTCTTCAGAGACAGCAGGTCTCCGAGTTAAATCTGAAAAACACGGGGGAATTAAAATTGGGGTGGGAGATATTAATATCCCTAGAGTTGTAGGGAAACACACAAGCAGCAGGAAAAGTAAAGGGGCAAAGAACAAGGCAGCACGGAATAAAAAACGAGTTCTTTCTAAGGTCATAAAATTGAAATGCAGCTACACTCTGGAGTTGTAAGAGCTGAGCAGGGCTGCCGAGGACATGGCGTTCTGGACGGCCTCCATTCACCGGGTTGCCGCAAGTCAGAGGCCGCTTGTCAGCACATCTCAGCCACCGCAAGAGAGAAGGATCAGATAAAGGAAAAGCCAGTGTGGCATGCTGCTTGGGTCTTTCGAAACAGGTCACCAATAGGCAGGGACCTTGATTCACCATGCACGCTTCAAGTCCCCCGGAAAACAAACGCCATCTCACAATAAGACTGGATTCCTCCCTCCAGTTTTAGAGCAGTTTTGCTTCCCAGGAATCACTCTCTCAGACAAGTTTTGTCTTCTTAGTCTTTGCTTTTAAAAAACCAGTGTAACAACCCCAAATGGAAAGCTTGCACAGGCATCAATTCCAATACTTGATAGTATCTAGCATCAAAGCTTCTATTCTTAATATTAATTATTAATAGAATTTCTATACCACCTGTATAGAAATGGGCAGTTCTGGATGGTTCGCACAATTTAAGTCACCCATCCAAATTTCAACCAGGCCTCTCCCTGCTTCGCTTCCAAGCTTAGGCAGAATCAGGCACTTACAAGCCATGGCCCAGATACGCAGGCCTTTCTTCTGTCTGAGCATGGAAAGGACCGTGCAGAGCAAAACTAATAGTGATCTCAGTCATCATCAGCAAGAACTTCCCAGGTTTGTTCTAAAAGCAATCAAGGACTTAAGGAAGTGTCCACTCCCTTTGTTCTGAATCCACTTTAATATTCTCTCTTGAGGCTATTATATATGCCTGGATTGTTTCCACCATCTTAGTTTACATTCCATTGAACTCCAATCCTAAGGGTACATTTCTATTGTAAATCACTACTTCAGAATCTGTTTGGATGTGGAACAATACAGAACTATTGTTAAAAAGGAAATAAATAACCAACTCAAGTCTAAAGAAGGATGCTGAATTTCAAACTTCTTATCATTAAAGGGTTATAGCAATATACATCTAAAATCATTCCAATATTCTTGGTCTGCAACACACCATTTCTCTGATTTCTTCCTGCCTTTTGAGTACCTTTACCCAGAATCCCTGGGCATGTTGTAGGTGCCTCTGCAACACATCATTTCTCTGACTTCTTCCTGTCTTTTGAGTACCTTTTCCCAGAATCCCTGGGCATGTTATAGGTGCCTCTGCGACACACCATTTCTCTGACTTCTTCCTGTCTTTTGAGTACCTTTTCCCAAGACCTTCCTTCTCAACTCAGTCCTATGACACTACCTAAGTGCACACCTAGTGTTTTTCTCAAGCTACCTGCTGAACTGCTTTTACCTGCTTTAGGAAGAAAATATTGTACCAGCAGTAACTTTCCAACAGAAAGGAGTCACCGCGGGGCACTCCAATAGCATATGCCTCAACGAGGCATCGTCTGAATTGCATTACTAGCATCCAGCTCAACTAGCAAGAAACCTGGTGAGACCCTTCAGGAACTGGCTGGTTAGTGTTGTAGGAAAGAGGATGCTTGACAGGTTGGTTCTGGCCTGTCCCAAAAGGGCTGCTGTTATATTTTTAAGGAAGGACACAAAGCAAAGACTCTGGATGTGACTTAACATTGCAAGGCCATTAGCAAAAGAAAGCCAACTTTGTGCTCCTCACAGCTGAGTCTGGAAAAGCCCCAACACAGCAGAATTAGGGCTTTCCTGTTCCTATATTCATCTGGTTCAAAATAAGGCAGTGAGGCTGCTGGCAGGGGCTGGCAGATATGACCATTACATCAACCCCACTGGCAACCAATTGAAGTCCGGGCCCAATTCAAAGCGTTAACTCTAATATTTAAAGCCTAAAGGGTATCTAAAGGAACACTTCCTCCCATATGTGGCTACTTGAACCCTGAGATCATCTGAGGTCCTTCTCAGAGACCCCCCTCTTAAGGAAATAAAGAGGACAGCAACCTGGGGAAGGGCCATTTCAGCATGACACCCCTACTGCAGAAACAGCTTCCCACAAGGGTGTGCCTGGTGCTTTCTCTCTATTATTTTCAACACCAGGCAAAAACCTTTTCATTTACCCAACATTTTAAGAGTTAATTGATTTTAATTCTTTTATGTGTTTGTGCTGCATTTATTGTTCCACTGATGTACCTTTAAGATTTTATTTTCCTGGGCTCCAAGATCACTGCAGATGGGGACTGCAGCCAAGAAATTAAAAGACACTTGCTCCTGGGGAGGAAAGCTATGGCAAATCTAGAGAGCATACTAAAAAGCAGAGACATCAGCCTGCCAACAAAAGTGCATATAGTCAAGGCGATGGTTTTCCTGGTTGCAATGTATGGCTGTGAAAGCTGGACCATAAGGAAGGCTGAGCGCCGAAGGATTGAGGCTTTTGAATGGTGGCGCTGGAGGAGACTCCTGCGAGTCCCCTGGACTGCAAGGCGATCAAACCGGTCAGTCCTAGAGGAGATCAACCCTGACTGCTCTTCAGAAGGCCAGATCCTGAAGTTGAAACTCAAATACTTTGGCCACCTAATGAGAAGGAAGGACTCCCTGGAGAAGAGCCTGATGCTGGGAACAATGGATGGCAAAAGAAGAAGGGGACGGCAGAGGATGAGGTGGCTGGATGGAGTCACTGAGGCAGTTGGTGTGAGCTTGAGTGGACTCCGGGCGATGGTGGAGGACAGGAAGGCCTGGAGGAGTGTTGCCCATGGGGTCACGATGGGTCGGACACGACTTTGCGACTAACAACAACAAAAATGTACCTTTGGACAACTGTGATTGTGGTTGCTGTAGGACTCCTATTTTATATTATGTATATCTGATTTTATATTTTAAAGTTACTGATCTTGTTATTTGTATTGTATTTTATGCTGTTCATTATCTGCTCTTTGTAAACCACCCAGAGAACCATTTTGAGCATATGGGCAGTATAGAAATTAAATAAATAAATGTCCCAAACCACAGCACTTTCCCTGCACCAGCATATACAGAACAGTAAGTGGCTTACCATATCTGTTCTCTCTCTTTCACCTTAAGCTGCAATCTTTTCAGACATCACAGCTCCCTCCTGGAGAATCTGCAGGAAGATGGTATGTCTAAATCAGAAAAGTGGCACAAAGAAAAGTCAATTTGGATTGAGAAAACCAGAGACATCCAGAAGAGTGAGGAATGGTTATGCATGCAGTGAGCTTTTTAAAATACATGAAACCAAATTCTGTGCTGGAATCACCCACATTTCTGTCCCTGATATGAGCAGTCCCTGGGACAGGAAGCCACACAAGTTGCAGAAGACTGAAGCACTGAATCTTGGATTTTTCATCACCCCTCCTCCCCCCCCCCCCACTGAACCCTACCTGAGTGATTTTAATATTTCACCACAATACTTTAGTTGCTTGGTTTGAGTTTTTTTAATTGGTTGTATGTGGTTTTTAATTCATGTTTTAGACTGTAAATTTGTTTTAGAGACAGGGACTGACTTCTTCTTATTGATTTGTTCGGGGAAAGAAGCTATTCTGGGAATAAAGGAGTAAAACATTTTTAAAACTTTATAGAAACATTTTGTGAACTGCCTTGGGTGCCTGTCGACGTCTAAAGACATGATATCTTTTAACAAAGATAACCTTCCAAGAGCTAGCAACTTGATAGAAGGAATGAAGGAAGGAGGGAGAGAAGGAAGGAAGGAGTGAGCAAAACGGACACTGATTCATTTATTGTATTTCTACATAGCTGTTTAGGCTTAATGAATGTTCAGGGCAGTTAAATTACCTACAAACAAAGGCACCAAAATTATGCCATGTCGGCTGCATAATTTCAGGCAGTGTAAAAGTCATTCCATCACTACTGCTAACGACTAGAAGTTGGCATTCACTGTCAGTCTACCGCCAAGCACCCAGAGTTCTACCCACCTGTAGATCCACCTGCCACCTGCCCACCTCTGGTGCATCACCCCCATAATGCACAGCACCTGCGGCCTAACAATGCACATTATAAAAAGGTGCCAGGCGGCCTGCTCCATTCACACGAGGTGCATGGAGACCTGAAAAACGTCTTTTCCATGCAGGTGGATGCCTCTCCGTTCATCCTGGTCCATCTCCAGCCACATCCCTTTTGTGACACATTACTTTCTTGGGTGCCACAAAATGCTCAGTCTCTGACTGAGCAGGCAGCGAAGTATGACCAGCACAAAGAAGAGAGACTCCAAACATGGGCTGTGGCACTTTATGCTAGGAACTAGGAATAGATTTATTTCTGGTGCCCATAAAATGGCAGCAAAAGACCCACAGAGTGAAGACGTACAGCTGTGAAAGCTGGGCAGTGAAGAAACGTGACTGGGGGGAAAAGATGCATTTGAAACATGGTGCCAGAGACAGAAAGACGAACAAGGGGGTCCTAGAGCAAAATCAAGCCAGAACTTGCCCTGGAAACCAAGGTTGTCATACTTTGGGCACAACATGAGAAGGCAAAACTTCCTGGGAAAGACCAACTTGCCAGGGAAAGTCAAAGGCAGAAGAAGAAAAGGAAGAGATGGAGGGACTCCCTCAAGGAAGCCACAGCCTTGAACTTGGACAAGCTGAGCAAGGCTGTCCTGGAGAGGATATTTAGGGGCCTTTCACCTATAGGGCTGCCATAAGTCAGAGGCGACTCGGGCACACAACAGCCAATGAATGAGCACCTTCCAAAATGCCCTGCCCAAACTCCAGGCTGTGGCTTCCTTTATGGAATTGATCCATCTTGTTCGGGTATTCATTCACTCATTCATTCATTCATAGGGTCGCCATAAGCTGGGGATGACCGGACGGCACAGAACAAAGACAACTCCAAAGCCCAGAGGCCTCACGCTCTGTGCTTTGCAGTCTAACAGCCTTCCACAGCCAGCATGCTGAGAGTTGTAGTCCAACACCTGGAGGGCTCCACGTTGGGAAAAGCTGCCCTAATGGAAAAACTTCCTAGACTGAAGCTACCCAGTGTGTGACAGGGGGAGAAGGGTGGGGAATGTGCTCCCCAGAGAGGTACGTCTGGCACCAAGTTTATACTCTTTTCAGTGCCAGGCCAAAACCTTTTTATTTAAACAGTATTTTAAAATTTAATCGTTTTTAAATTTAGTCACTCTGTTTGTTCTGTGATTTATTGTTTTGTTCTGTTTTATTATTTATTGAAATTGTTTTAATTGTCTTTTTAAATATTGTAAGCTGTCCTAAGATCTTGTGTAATAGGGTGGCATACAAAAGCTTTTAATAAATAAATAAATAAATAAATAATTTTAATACAGGCTAATTTAATAAATAAATAAATAAATATCCCAAACACAAACGCTGCCAAATCAGACCACAGGCCCATCAGGCCCAGTATCCTGTCTCCAACACTGGTCAGCAAGATTACTTTCAGAAGTTTTCAAGCAGGGCACATAAATCCCAGCCATCAGAACCCCTTTCTTTCTTGATTCATGCCAGAAGCAGCCCACAAACAATTGGCAAAAGCCATAAAATAAAAATAAAACCAATGGCCTATATATAAAATCCACATGCATAAACACCAACATGCAAAGATACACCCGGGCTTTGCAAGCCACGTTTTGCCTCAAACCAGGCAACGTCAAGGGTAGCTGGAGCACCAAACCTGCAGCCCTTTGCTGGGCGCTGAGCACCCCGGCACAGGCGTGAGGCTGCCCGCTCTTCTCAACGCCCTCCGAGGGCAGCCCGTGGGGCAGCCCCACTTTCTCAGCTCCCTCCCACCCCGCCGCCCCAGTCCTGCTCCTACCAGTGGCTTCCGGGCGACCCAGCGCTGCGCGCAGTCGGGCGCCGAGCCGGCCGGGTTCGCCCGTCTGAGGGTCAGGGCGGCTCCGTCCGCGCTCCAGTCCTGGACTCGATTCGCAGGTGGCCCAGGAGACCCTTCCTCGAGCTTAGCCTGGGATCGGAGCCAAGGCGGCTACGAAGCGGGGCGGGCCCGACGCGGGGGCCGGGCGTCTTTCCCTGCCGGCGGCCCCCTCCGCCTCCCCGCGGGCGAGGCACCCGTTCGATCGAGCGGGCTGGCGCCGGGCATCCTGCAGTGGTGCTGCAGCGTCCGCCTGGAGCTGCCTTGCACGCGGCCGGGCGGGCGGGCCGGTAGACTGCCCCTGGGCCAGGAGGCTTCTGCTCAGCTCGCCCGGGCTGCCGGCCGTCTCTCGGCCGACCCCCCCGCGCCGCACCCCCGCCGGTTTGAAACCCACCCCGGCCCGCGGCCAACGCCCCGCGCTTCCTGGGACAGCGAATGCGCCACCGCCCGCCGCCCCAGAAAGGGCGGGTGCCCCGGCGGATCCCCGCAATTGCCTTCGCCAGCCGGGCAGCCGCCTTCCACGCCCCCGCCGGCGCCCATGCAACGCACCTCCTGCAGCCCGGCCGGTCCCGCCTGGCGCTGCCCGGGCAGCAAGCGGCGCATCTCCGCCAGGCGGCTCGGGCAGGTGCGCGGCGCACAGCGCGCAGCAGCGCCGGGGCGGCAAAACCCCTGCAGGCCGCCGGGCCGGAGGAGCGATGCGCCGATCCACCCGGCCGGTCCTCGCAGCCAAGAAAACTACCGCTCCCATCATGCCTTTGCGCCGGAGAGCGGACAGGCACCCGGCATCCCTCGCGGGCTAAAAGGAACTACATGCCCCAGCATGCCTTTAGGCACCCCTCCCTCCCCGTAGCAAAGAGTTCCACGAGGTTCTGAGATGGTTGGAAAGCTTATTTTCAGATGCGGGTAAGGGGGACGCAACGACATGCCCCAGCATGCGCGGAAATGAAGGGAACCGCATATCCTAGCATTCCTTTCGAACTTTTTTCTCCTGCTCTCCTACTACCCTGGCACAATTTTTTTTCCCGGGCTTTTAGAAAAGTTGGACGGTATCTAAAGAGCCAAGTGAATGGAAAGGAACAGCAAGCCCCAGCATGCGTGTAAATGAAAACTCCAAGCATGTCTTTGGGAAGTTTTACCTCCCCCGCAGTCCCCAGATTTTTCTCGAAGTTCTGAGAGCTACAAGGGGTACCTTTAGACGCAGGTAAATGGCTTCAGGGAGGGGCACGTGCGTGTACTTATATTTATTTACAAAAAGAAGCGCAGTTTCTGGCATAACGCCAGCTACAAGAACGAGTCGTTTCATTCCCTGAATGAACGATTCGATGCATTCGTTTCATTCCAGCTCTGCCCCAGAATGAAAGCAGCCGAAGCTCTCTGCGCGCTGCGCAAATACTGTTCCGGTTACACAACCTGGTGGGATCAAAACGCTTCGAAAATAGATCTGCAAAGTGCTACGCACGAAGGAGCGGACGACACACGTATATTAGGAAAACCTTAAGTGGAACTGCACCTAAGTTACTCTAATGGCGAGACGGAGTGAGCAATCTATGGATCCATCCGAGTTGAACACTAACTGTGGTGCTTTGTGTAGCAAAGTTTGGGTGCCTTTAATCCCAGCCTTTGACTCCCCCTTCTGGCAGATGACGTTGTCTCCATTTTTTTCCTTAAGTAGAAAGGCCTGTAGCAGGGGTGGTGTTTTGTGGTGTTTCGAAGTCTTCAGAGACTAAAACATAATATAAAGCAGGGCATCATCTCTGTCCGTCTTCTTTGCATCCGTGTCTCACACACACCAGCTTAGAGTGCTTCCTTTTACATCACATCATCAAGGGCTATTAAGTGTGGGGGGTACAGTTCCCCAGACAACCATGCCGGCAGGGTACCTTTTTTCTGAATGAACTTGCACAGACAAAGCACTACAGATCCAAGTATTTCCCAGCCAAAACGGGCTTTTTGTCCGCCAGTCCTTGCAGAGCTTTGTGCTCAGTGCTGGAAAGGGCAGGGTGTACACCACCCCGCCTGACCTTGTCTGGTGATCCACGCTGGGCATAAATTAAAAGAAGGCTTATCTACATGCATGTGCAAAACCATAAGAGAGCTGTGCTCCCTGATGGCCAGTGGCTGGTGAAAACAATTAAATTGGCCATAGCTGTGGGTGTGATTAAAAACTATGTTTTGTCTTTCGTCCGCTGAGCTCAGCTCAAGGACAGTGTACATGGCCCTCCCTCCCCGTTTTACCCTTGCAACTGTCTTGCAAGACAGGTGAGGCAGAGTGATAGTAATGGCACCCAGGCAACCGAGTGAGCTTCATGGGTGGGAAGGGGGCAACCCTGGTCTCCCCAGGTATGGCATGAAATCCACACTGCCTAGGTATGCATCCTGAAAGGAGAAAAGCCATTCCTGAATGCAGATATGAAGGGTGACATGGGTTGAGGGCATTACTGGAAATAATCGAAAGAAACACAAGGCACCCTACTTTCCCATGCTAGGGAATGCGGACAGGAGATGGGAAGCACCTGGTTTGCGTTAAATCATCCCTAGGGTGTGATGAGGAAGAGGGTTTTGATTGTCAAATGTAGGACAGGAGGAAATAAGTCATGAGCTGATGGCCAGGCAGGATAATGAATTGGAGAGGATTAAGTTTGTGAGCCTAGAGAAGGATGCTGTACTTAGGTGTTTCGATTCAAAGGCTTAGAAGCCTCAGGTCCGAAGCAGGAACTGGAGTGGCTGGTTTTAGAGAAGCCAGGTATAATGGGTATTATGGAAACCTAGTGGAATGGAAAGCTGATGGGATACAGTCATGTGGGGATCAACTGTATAGGACCAAGAAAGGGGTAGTGAAGGAGCTGTCACTGCATAAACACAACAGAGTTTAAAAAGCTCTTTAATCTGAAATGCACAGCCTGCTCAGCAGAAGCTACATGGGTGAAAATTCCTGGCCCCAAAATGAATTTGGTCCAGGGATATACTATTGTCCTGCAGTCCAGAATGTTCTGGATGATCTTGGGAAGGGGAATGAAATTGGAGAAGCCTCAGAGGCAATGCAGTCGCAATGGGTGACTTCAGCTACCCACATATTGACTGGATAAATGTATGTTCCACTTCTGAAAAGGAGATTGAATTTTTTATGTCCTAAATTTATGTCCTAAATTTTTATGTCCTTTTATGCCCTAGAACTGCTGGTCATTTTACTGACCTAAATTGAGGCAATCCTGGCTTCAGTCCCAGTGCAACCTGCAAAGAACATCGTATGATGTAGATGTTGATCGATTAAATGTTTGTTCCAGTTGGAGCCAACTGAAAACAGCGACCTCAGAAATATACATTTAGGTGGATATTGCCAACGAGGTTCCTACACAGTCACTTTCAACTTCAAAAGAGGAAACTTCTTGAAAATGAGGGAATGGGTAAAAATCAGGTTGAAAGGGGGAATCTAGAGGGTTAAATCCTTTCCAAATGCTTGGGAGATTGCTCAAAAACACAGTAAGATCAATCTTAAAGTAATGTACATATCACAAGTGAGGAAAGAGAAAGTCCTTGAGTTCACCAACCTGATGAACAGGTAAAGGAACCTATTAGAGAGTAGAAAGCTTTAGGTATAGAAGTCTTGTCCAAATGAGGAAACCAAAAGAGAGCACAAGCTTGCTCAGCAGAGATGTGAGCAGACAGTAAGAGAAGGAAGAGTTTGATGGGCATCAAAGAGCATCTTTTAAGAAACCAGTTGGAAAGGTGGTTGGACCATTGGATGATAACAGAATTAATGGAGCACTAGAGGACGGTAAGGAGATTGCAGAGAAGCTGAATGAATTTTTCCCATCTGCCTTCACAGCAGAGGATATGGAACAGATACGTGCTCCTGAACTTATGTAATCAGGAAGGGAGTCTGAAAAAGGACGAAGCTGAAACGAGAGCAGAGAAGGGCAATTAAAAGAATCAAAGGGTTAGAGTATTTCCTCTTGAGGAACAGCTACACCTGGGACTGTTCTGCTTAGAAAATGGTGAGTAAACAGACATGAGAGGTGTTCAGATTATGCATGGTGTGGAGAAAGAGGCAAGGGAAACATTTTTCTCCTTCCTTCGTAATCCTAGAAGCCGGGGTCATCGAGGCAGACAAAAGGAAGTTGTTCTTCACAGTGTGAATTAACCATGGAATTCACTGCCGCAGGAATGCTGGTTGAAGCTGGCAGAATGCATCTGAGCCAAATGAGGGACGACGGCTGCAACCCCAGAGCTTCTCCTGTTTTCTGCTTCTATAACTGCCCTCGTGTTGTTAGTTTCCAACCTGGAGTGTAGCTTGGCACAGCAATTTTGTGTTCTGCAAGACAGAACAGAAGCACCCGTACTTCACTGGGAGCAACAGGGTGCGGGTGGGGCGCATCATGAGAAAAGGACACACCACGGGCTCAGAAAGTCACCAAGTTTAGTTTATTTCAACTTTTATCAGTGATGTTATTGTAAGGCATCCAAGTACATTGAAAAGGAATCCCCGTTAGGGTTACATACATTCTTTTGGAAATAAAAAGGTGATAAACAGGCCTAAGGTGGCAAGAGGACAAGACTCGTGGCTGCTGGTCTCTTCCAGGCGGAAACCTGTCTCAAAGGTGCTGCATACCAAAATGGGCCAATTACCTGCCGTGTTATGAATGGGGCGGGGTGTTGTGATACTCCCTCCTCGTTAAATTAATCCCTGTTGTGAAGGAGAGTGGAACTTGCCTAGACTGATGAAGCATCTTTCTGAGGAACAAGTTCATTATTGCTTTATCCCTGAAGCCAGGAAGGACATGGAATGGAAAGAGGGTGAAAGGCGGAGAAGGGACGGGGGAGTGGAAATGAGGAGGCAGGAGGAAGCCCCTCTGCCTGCCCGCAGCCGGACATGCTTTGTGAAAGGCCAAGCACTGCTAGGAATTTCCCATCCCTGCCCGTCCTGAATGTGAGGCAGCTGTGGTTCTTCCCCAGAAGGGGTCACAGGAACGCAGTTCCTGCTGAACACTGAGGCTCACAGGAGGAGCAAATTCCGCAGCACTTTGGGCAGTAGCTGGGAAGGCATGTAAAAGGGGGGCTGTGTGTCCAAACGTACAAGGAGGCCCCGCTGCAGCTCCCCGGGCAAAGTGCTGCGTGTTCCTGACTGCACGGGGACGAAACCCCCCCTGGCAATTTGCAGGGCTACTGCAGCAAGCATGAGCGCCTCCTGGCCACCACCATGTGCCACGTGGACGCTGAGCATGCCTGTCTCTTCATTTAAATGCACACCTGCTCCTGCACCGCCCCGTACTTCTAAAGGACGATTCCCAGCGCTTTTGCCACTTTTCTTTTCTTGGGAGCCTTTCTGTAGGCCCGTCACTCAACCGTCAGCTCTCTGGCCGGTGCAAATTGCCCTCAGAGAGGCATGGAAAACTCAGCCCTTCCCACAGCCTGGCCCTGCACCCTTTTGTCTCCCTTTGGTCATGCCCTAAAAGGTGTGGCAGTGCTTCACGGGGCTTCTCCAAAGGCCGTTTGAGCCAGCTCCTCCGCATCAGAGGGGCGCTGCTAGGTCTCTCCCTCCTCTCTGCCTCAGGGCCAGGAAGGAGATGCTTCTGCAAACCGCACAGCAGCGGAACGTGGCTGCTGGGCTACGCCACTCTGAATCCAAAACAGGGGCTCGAAAGAACCCCAATGTCAAACCAGCCATTTTCCCATCCAGAGAGAGACGTCAACCAAGTTCTCGGGAAGGCACAACCCTATCTGAGTACAGGGCAGGCATCTCTGAAACGAAAAGGTGAGCCTCACTCCTCCCATTATCATCATCACTATTGTTATTGTTATTGTTGTTATTTTTGGTAGGCACCATGAGACCAGAGACACAATCCATCAGGTTCTCCTCTTGTGCCAGCCCCTTTGAAAATGCATACGGATTGCACAATCACACACGTGGAAAGCTGCTGCTGGACTGTGCCCGTTCTCCCGCTCAGTTTGGACAAGAGGCAGGGACGCGCGTCACCTTACGTCTTCACAGAGCACCGGTGAAGGCCGAGCGGAAGAGAGGGTCCCACCGCCCCGCTGCAGCTCAGCAGACCTCCGACATCAAGCCCCTTCCCAAGGAGAAGGCCACGGTGGAACCGAACCCGGTCTCCTAACCTCCGACACCTTGACAAAAAGCAGGCACTGCTTCAAAGAGATTCGTAATTACTCAAGATCGTCCACATCCTGAATCACACAGTAAAGAGCACAAGACAAAACAGATCCCCCTGCCACTTCCTTTGTTTTCGTAAGACGACGTTCCCGGCTGAGCGCCGCCTCGCCTTCCGATCTCCACGACCCCAGTCGCTGCTGTCCCTTCCTTCCTCGACAGCATGCGGCCAGCAGTGACCGTCTCTCTCAAGGTCAGGAGGGCAGATCACCGGCCAAGTGGCTGGACCAGAACTCCTTCCATCTGCAGTGGGAGAACGACGGTCCCCCTGGAATTCACATTCATGGTGCGCCAAGCCCATCCCGTAACAGCTCCGGCTGGCAGCTGGGAGGAGAGGCATCCCTGATAGCGGACCGTGCCCCTGCTACGGGCACCTGAAGGCACATTCGGGCACTTGCGTATGGGAAGAGGTCAGGCGATCCGGTCCCCCGGCAGCTGTGGCACAAAGGAAAAGGCGGCAGGGCTTCGGGAGCGTCGTTCCCCCCGTCCTCCCTGCTCCAGCTTCAAACACCCGGCATGAGCCGATGAGCTACGCAGACACATTCACGTCCCTGAGAGAAATGGCACCGTGTGCAGCTTCGGGAGGTTTGTCCTCGCGCCCTGCGGCTGGGGCATCGGCAGCCACAGCCGCGGCGTCCATGGCAAGCAGCGGGTTCAAACCCTGGGCCAAGATCTGCTGGATCGTTTTCCGCAAGTTGGGGTGCAGCTGGTTCTGGGTCTGGTAGAAAACTTCTAAGGCAAAGGACTTCAGGGTGCCAGTGCAGAGGTCCTCGTACAGCGGAATTGTGTACATCCGCGACATCTGCAATATGAGAAGAAAGGATGAGCATCGCGCCAACAGAAATACGCGGATCTCTACTGTGTGCTGATGGAATTGACTGGGAGCTGATGTGGCAGAGAAGACAAGTCTGAGCTACAAATCACGAAGTCTTGATGTGAGCATCTCCTTTCCCTTGAATAGCCACAGCCATGCACTGCGATTCGGGGATTGTAATACTGGCCTGTATTACAGGGGTGTTGTGAGGACTGCTGCAAAATCATTTATAAGAAGCACTTTGAACACTTGAATATGCTACATGGATGCCAGTGGTTGGCATTTATATAGTACTTGGGAATCTTTGAAGCATTTCATGTATGTTATTTCAGTAATCTTTATTACAGTTCTTTATGATAAGCTGGTATGTATGTATTTGCAGTTTTATTTCTACCCTCTCTTTTAGGGCAAACCCTTACAGATCTGATTACAGGGACGGAGACCAAGAGATTATAATGTCCTGAATTTTTAGGCAATAGCTGATTTTACTTTATCAGACTTGCTTGGAAGACTCCTGAGAAAATGCTAGCCCGCTTCTCTTAAAAAAGCACAGAACGTCTTATTATGAAATGTTGAATGTTCGTGATGATTAAGAATGTGACAATGTAAATAAGTAAAATGAAGTAATTGTATTAAAACCAATATAAACAAAGGTTGACAATATATTCTGGGTAGCTCATATAACCACTGTTGTCAAGTTCCTAAAGACTGGAGCTATAGTTCGAAAACACTCAGCAAAGGCCAAATCCTGAACGGGAATGGCCTGCCTGCGACCATCCCAGCCTTCAGTGCTGGGCTTAGACTTGACCAGGGACCTCCTGGTTTACAGATTTACATGTTTACAGGTTTACCAGGGACCTCCAGGCAGCATATAACTCTTGATTCGCATTCCTGTGGAAACCTCTGCAATGATTCTAGTTTTACAGAACAAGATGAGAGAATCTGCCACTAGAATCCAGATCTCCTCATTGCAAAGTCCAATTCCATTCTGCAAAGGAACAGGTGTGGGCAAATGGAAAACTCTGGCCCGCTTGCTGGTAGCCAGTTCCTGGTACCTTCTGGTTGTTGGGATTCAGGAAACACTGCGGAGTTTGGTCTTATCTTGCGCTGCACTTGCATCCTTCAAGCAAGAGTGAACTTTCAGGATTCATTCCCCCAGATTAGTTATGCCTCAACTGGAGAAACCCTGCTTTGAAAATCAAAACATGCATCTGTGGCCTGTGGGGATTCTAGTTAGGTGGGGGAGAAAACTGCTCAAGACTAAGATCAGCCCATTCTTGGATTAGACCACCTTACGGTATGGACACTTCACTTTTTGGTGAGCTTGGGTGGAATCACCACAACCCCCAAACAAGTGAAACGCTGAGCCCAGTGGCCCCCGAGCCTGGTTCCTGAGCAGAGATGGGGGAGCAGAAGGAAAAAATGGCAGTCATCTGCAGACTCTTAAAAAGCTAGAGAGAGTCTTCTCCACCTTCCAGGCATCGTGAACGTCAACTTAAGAACATCCTACAGTATCAGATGTACTCAAACTGTGCTGACACAGACTTGCTTTACTCATCTCCACCTGGTTTTCTTTTTTTAAAGTCACCCTGTGCTCCATCAGCCTATCCAAAATGAGAAGGTTCCCACAAGGAGACCTGTACCCACAAAATCATAAACACTGCTATGTTCTGCAAGGCAAAGATTAGATCTTTAGCACACTGTTGTGTTAGTTTAAAGCACAAGAGTTCTCTGTCCGTGATCGTTCCACAGACGTGGCTGGAAGGATACTGGCTCTCATTGCAGGTGTGCAGCTCTGTGTGGACGGCAGCCGTGGAAGGACAGGTGGGCAGGTGGACTCTGTTCCCTTTGACCTACTGAGAACAGTGCTTGAGAAAAACGCCTGCAGTTATAAGGATCGGCTTCTTCTCAGCTGCTCCCAGGCAAGGGAGAGCAGGAGGTATATCCCTGCAAGCGCAGAGCGAGCAGCTGCACAGAGGTGGACAGGGGCTGAAACAGCGTCGCTGGCAGGAGGAACAAAACACAACACCTTCAGGACAAGGTTGTCCTGTCAATTTCCACCTCCCCCAGCCCGGCAGACAAACTACACCACACACCTGATCTACACACTTGGCCAAGCAGCAGGTGTTCCTGGGTCTGTTGCGTGTCGCATGTTTCATGCTCAAATCTCATGCCCTGAGTGGTGTAGGGCTTTTTAATCCAGCAGTTAGTACCTGGTTTTCCAAGAAGCACCGGACTTTGTAAAGGTCTGGGTAGTAGTCATTGCGGACAATGATCTGCAGCCAGCGGATACGGATCTCTGCATTCATGCCGTCCAGCTGGGCTGAGTAGCACTCTGAGAGCTTCGAAATCACCTCTGAGGACACAAAGTTTTTAAGAAAGTCAGAACCGGGACCTGCAGGCTCGGCCCATGCGCAGAGCGGAAAGACCAGAAAGGGAGAAAACGGCCCAGGCCGGAGGTGCTTCAGAACAGAATTTGTAAACCTTTCCCAAACCATAATTAAAAAAGGAGTCCTACACTTTAGGCGAGATTGGTCTTGCTCTGAAGACCCGACCGTTTATAAGAGTTGAGCAGGGCTGTTGGGACAGGATGCCTGGAGGATGTTCATTCAGAGGGTTCCCTTAAGTCAGGGGTGACTTGAGGGTGCATGACAAAAATTCGTATCAGTGAAAGCTGCTCCTGTTCAGTGCCAGGCATTTTCCCTACCTGTCAAGAAGCAGGAGCTGTCTATTTACATTCCCGCTCTGAAGCTGCCCTGCTGTTCTGGACCAACTCCCATCAGTCTGCATCGGAAGGCATCAGGTTGGGGAAGGTTCTTTCCCTGTTCTTCTTCCAGAGGCAGCTGAGGCCCCTTGCAGTTGACTGTGCATTTGGGGCTTAACAGAGATTCTCACTACCATGTAATTCACATATAATTTAAAATGATTGTTTTTATCAGTTCAGTTGTATTGCTTAGCTCTCCATTCTCATTTAATCATTATATAGAGTTCTGAAAGGTGATTAAAACTGGCAAAAATGGCAAGACTCACCATGAGGCAGGGGTGACCCATCCAACAGCCGGTCCAGGAAAAGCACCGTTTGGAACGTCCGCCACTCCGCGATGTTGACGCTGCTAGCGGCAGCCGCGACATCCAAGGGCTCCGTGGTCCAGAGGCTGAAGAGCGTCTCCACTGGGCTGGTCAGACTGGATCCGTGAGATAAGTCTGGCTCCATCAAAGGAGGGCCTGTCGCGTTGAGCCAGCGTTCAAACTCTAGTCCTGCAACGCACATGCCAACATGACTCCAGTCCTCCGACAGCTTCACTGGCTCCCCATTGAAGTCCAGGCCCAATTCAAGGTGTTGGTTATGACCTATAAAGCCCTAAACGGCTTGGGTCCTGGTTACCTGAAGGAGCGCTTACATCCATACATGCCCAGCCGCCCCTTGAGATCTGCGGGAGAGGCCCTTCTCCAGGAACCCTCCGTGAAAGAAATTAGGAGGGTAGGTACTCGGAGGAGGGCTTTCTCTGCGGTGGCGCCCAATCTATGGAATGCGCTCCCCAGAGAGGTCCGCCTGGCGCCGTCGTTATTTGTTTTTCAGCGCCAGGTGAAGACCTTTTCATTTAAACGTCATTTTAATTGTTAACAATATTTACTTATTCATCTGGCCAGGGCGACTTCTTTTCTTTTCTTTTTCTTCTTTTCTTTTCTAACTTTTCTTTTATAACTTCTTTATATCGTTTGTGTGTGTGTGTGTGTGTGTATATATATAATATTATCAATTTTAATTTTATATTGTTATTTTTGTATTGTATTGTATTTTATTGTGTTGTAAGCCGCCCCGAGGCTTCGGCACGGGGCGGCATAGAAATGTTCTAATAATAATAATAACAACCAGGGTCAAGCTGCGACCCAACCCTGCTGCCACCACTACCACCACTAGTTCCTTTTATTTCATTTTTATTCCTCACATTTTTACCTCCCTCCCAGTTCTCCGGGCACACTGCCTGATCCTACCAGAATCGAAACACAGCACACAATAAAAGCAGTAAGACGGTCTGGAATAGAGGGAAGCAGCCAGGCCAAAGCACTGCCGGCCCTGAGAGATCCTCAAATCTAAGCTGCAAATCCTAGCTCTAAAGCACCCGGAAGAGGAAAGCCTGAGCATGGCACCCGGGTGACGAAAGGACGGGCAGCAGGAAGACTCTTTAGGGAGGGCGTTCCCTGAGCAGCGAGGGTGCCACAGCTGCGCGGCCTCCCCTCTTGTGGCCAGCTGCCTGACTCCATTCGACAGGGGCTGAATCGCCTTCTCCCGCTGGGGGAGCAGTCCTGATCACCACCACCTGATCACCAATCCGTGATTTACTTTGTCCAAGGAGACATCTCCTAATGCAGCAGAGACGTTTAAGGGCCAAGCCCAAGCGTCACAGGTAAGTTCCACCAGGACATGCAAAACCGGAGGGCCAAGGTCACGCCCCCCAGCTGTAAAATGTGAGAATAAAAGCTGTACTATTTATCGTGGAGCAAGAAACCAATGAATCTGTTGGAACTCTTTCTCATGCCTCCAGTTTCAGTAATTTTGCACAGGCGCCCTGGAGACGGGAAAGTGTCCCATGCTGTCACTGAGAACAGGTCTCAGCATCAGACGTGGGGTAGATTTATGGATCCAGCTGCCTCCTTAAAGCCGATGGTTGGTGAACTGTGTGCAACTTTTTGGAGTATCTGAAAAAATAGACTGGTTCTTAACATATGCATTGCTCTGAGCATTACTTGTTTGATTTCTGGGCCAGAGTAAGGCCTGAAGGCATCCACCATGAGGAAGCTAAGTGGGTCTGGGGTTGGCCTAAGCTTGCATGGGAGACCACCTGGGAAACACAGGTAGCGACCTTAGGTGCCACACTGGAGAAAGGTGGAATATGATTGTAAGCCACCCTGAGGCTCATGCGATGGGGCGGCATATAAGTTGTTTGTTTAAATAAATAAACAAACAAACAAACATACATACAAAATTCTACAGTGATATTTATTTACATATTGCTTTGGTGGGTGTTGTAGATCATGTGTGTTCAATTCATTCCCATTACATCTCTGAATTTTGAATTGTTTGTTAATTTGTTATAAGTAGTACAGAGATTGCATTCTCCTTTTATATTAGGAAGGAGAAAGACCATCGAGAAAGCCAGCAGTCCGAGCACTCTGGGACAGAGTGCAATGAATCCAAGATGGCACACAGATTGGAAAATTTTGGGGGTGGGTGCCACGCTTCCTATGAGCTCATGCAAAGTCAATTCGGTGATGCAGAAAATAGCTGGGGAGTCCGAAATGCTTCACTGGCACAGCATATGCTGCACCGCTTCAAAGCTATCCAGGCAAATGAATAAGGTAAATGTCCCTTTGGCTCTTCCCCCGTCTGCTCCATCCAACTTAGCTATGCCCAGTCTCTACAGACCCTGTGTGCTGGAGAGACCCACTGGAAGCAGCACAACCGAGAGGGAGGGAGAGAAAGGTATACCCTCTCTACCCTGTGAGAATGGCACAATAGCCCATGTGGCACATCCACAGAATGAGTATGGGGTAGAAGAGAAGCCCACATTTCAGTAACTAATAGGAGATCTCTCTCTCTCTCTCTCTCTCTCTCTCTCTCTCTCTCTCTCTCTCTCAATGTTATATTCCATTACTGTGCTCTTTCACACCTGTTTTGCTATCGATGCATTGTTCTTTCAATTCTGGGAAGAAAGCCAGGAAGGAATCCAAGAGATCTTGGGCCACGACGCTAGTGAACTTGTACTTCTCAATGTAGGCCTAGAAGGGAGCCACGAAAACGGGTTAAGGAGTTGGTGAGCTTCAGGGGAAGGACAAGACAGCAAAAGGCATGAAAATCAGGGAAAGGTCAGCAAGGGAGATAAGCATGCCAGAGCACAATACAAAGTAAAATACAAAAATTATGGGAGGTCAACTTCCCAAAGAACGAGAGAGAGGGAGAGGGAGAAATGGTTTGTGTAAACAAGGACATAATGACACACTTTACTGCTATGTAACTCTCTTTCCCTGGAAATTTACCAAAGGCCTCTCATCTGTCACAAGATCTTTCATTAACGGACTGTGCAGTCCAAGCCTTCAGGAGTGAGCTGAGCACTGAAATTAAATACACGGTGCTCCAGAAGTTTGCATCAAATGGGCTGCGTGCACACCGCAGCCAGGGTGTCTGGGGAAACAACAGACGGCTCTACAGCTGGGGTTCCTGGGCAAGGGGGACTATGCAACTCAGACCAAAGGTGGAAAGATGCTCACTTTTGCAGAGAGCATCAGAGGTTTGCTGGGGATCTCTCTCTTTCCTCTCTGCTCAGTCCTTCAAGAAGCCTTGATGCCCAGGTAATGCACACAAAGGCATTTTGCTGATGTGTTTCAGTCAATGCCACCACCTTCATCTAATCCTAGAGTAGTTTCTGCTTAAGGCCTGCCTCTGCTCACCCCACCACCCGTTTGGGGCTGCCCTTCCTTCTAGACGAGGCACCATCCCTGAAACGCACGGGCAAAAACCCTATACAAATGCACACAGATACATCCCCGCCCCAAACCCAAATTACTAACCCGGAGGAAGGCATCAAAGTGCGCTGGATCTCCACAGAGCTGGGACAGGTAGTAAACAAAGCAGTAACCTTTCTCATATGTGAACAGATTCATCAGATTGCTTGGATTCACACCTGTAAAGTGGGCATGGGGAGGATGCAATAACATCCAGGTAAGACTACAGGGGAAAATGTCAGTAAAACATTCACCAGGTCATGGGCTTCCTCCTGCTCAAATGATTCTTTTTAAAGCTTACTTACATGGCATAGTCAGGGGACACGGTGCTCTAAACAGTTTCATCAACACAGAAAAAAACAAAAAAAGCAGGTCCCAACACCCAAGAGCTTACAGTCTAGAATAAACAAATGGAAGGGTCACGGAAGAAGGGGGGACGGTTGAGCAAGGCCATTGCAGATTCTTAACACGAATACGGTAGAGAATGAGGGTCAGTGAAGGGCAGACAGGACACTGCGCTGCTCTTCCACAAAATTTCTGCTAACAGTTGGGCGCCCTTGGGCACGCAGAACAACTTGGACGTCCCATGTTTCCACCTGCTCCTTGCAGCTCCTGGACTGAAAAGCTGGAAACGGTTCTAGAGAAAGAAGACCCTCCTTCTCTTCCACAACTTCACCCCAGCTGCAGCTTCCTCTTTGGAGATGCTTGGGACAGATCCCAAAGCTGGTGAGGGAAGGGGACCTGTGCCGATATGCTTACAGCAAGGAGGAAAACGGAATGACTGGTTTGTCTCCCGCTTCCTCTCCCACTCACTGGGCCCAAGACAATTTGAAAGTGGGGGAATAAGGCAGCCCACAAGACTGGCGTGCACCGGGGAAACACTGGGAATTGGTTCTGTGGGAAACCGGATCTACAGGTCAAGATAACCAAAGCATTCTGGAAGTGCAGGATCCTTAGAGTGAAACCCCAGACATATCGAGGAATACATCCCACTGAATCCAGCAGGCCTTCTTTCCAGTAAGTGCACATAAGAATGACCACTTGCTGCTGCCAGGAAAAGAGGAGCGTTCGAGCATATAAAGGGCCTTAGAATGAGATGGGGGCGGGGGAGATAGAGTGGTGGGGATTATTTTTGCATTGCGATCCAGAATAACCACCTAGATAACCTAACCAAACCTCATCATTTGCTCCTAGTTTACAGTGACATTTTGAAGACAGGCTGTTTTTAGTACGCTGCCCTTTTTCGTGGTTGGTTTCTTTCTAGGGCATTAAATTCAGTTTGTGGAATTGAGCTCATTTCAGTCTGAGGCTTGGGATGGGGGAGGGAGTGATTAGAGCAAAACTGGAGCATCTCACAAGCTTTTAAATGGGCACCTAAAGCTTGCCAGGCTTCTGAATGTCTACCTGGCTTGTTTTATAGAAGGGGAGGTCCCACCTACACATCTCAGCTCCAGACTTACCTGGCTCCAGCTTCACCTGAAGTTTACTGACAGGGTTGTCCTCGCCAAGAAGCTTCATTTGTCTGTGAAGAGCATCCAGGCGGAAGGCAGTCTCCAGACACGTGAAGGCAGTACCTGTCCCCAAAACGGAGGTATTCAGAATTGCAGTCTGCAACCAAAGCACAGACTGGTGATCTTAAATGGATGCCTCAACTGCGGCCTCCCGTGCCTTTGCAGCTCCTGGCCATGCACGCCTCTTGGCTTATTTTCCCTCCTGTTGTCCCACCCTCTCAGGACCCTCCTTAGCCTTCTTGGTTTGTCCTTTGTCCTTTGGGCTGCTCCCTGTTCCAACCATTTTATCATAGTTGCCATCCAATCATCTGGAGGGCATCGTGCTGAGGAAGACTGGTTTACTCTTTATGGCTGCCACCTGAAAGCCACTTTGAAATCATCCAGGTAGCCGCTGTTTCCACTCAAGAGCATTGCCCCAACTGGAAGATGCTCTGTGTGCAAACCAATTTTCATGCATCCGTGACTCCAGCTGCTCCCCTCAATATGATTACTCCAGAGTAATCTTACAGGAGTAAAGCAATGACCATTTTGGTGGTCCACTTTCATTCTCAAGCAACTCTTCCTGTCTCGTTCATCCATTCTGAGGTTCAAGGTGAGATGCACAGACAGACAGCCAGGAAAAGGAACTCGCACGCATAAATTCTTGCTGTTGTTGTGTGTGGGGAGGGTTCCTCTGTTACTGTACGATTTGCTCAAAAAGTAAAAACCACTAAGGAAAAACCCTGCTAGACTTGAAGGTCTCGCAAGAGCCTGCCTTGATTTGCTGCAAGAGACTTAATACGACTGCTCTCCAGGAAATAACCAGCTAGGATAGAATACTGAAGAAGCAGAAGGCATTCCTCCTTCAAAACAGGAAAACTAAGCTCCTGCTGAGTTATGTGTAACTCTTGCTACTGGAATTGCTGTTGTTCAGTCACAAAGTCATGCCTGACTCTCCCCGACCCCACAGACCATTGCATGCCAGGCCTTCCTGTCCTCCACCATCCCCAGAATCCACCTAAGCTCACACCAACTGCTTCCATGACTCCATCCAGCCACCTCATCCTCTGCCGTCCCCTTCTTCTTTTGCCGTCTATTGTTCCCAGCATTAGGCTCTTCTCCAGGGAGTCCTTCCTTCTCATTAGGTGGCCAAAGTATTTGAGATTCATCTTCATTATCTGGCCTTCTAAAGAGCAGTCAGGGTTGATCTCCTCTAGGACTGACTGGTTTGATCACCTTGCAGTCTGAGGGACTCACATGTCTCCTCCAGCACCACAGTTCAAAGGATTCAATCCTTTTGCGCTCAGCCTTCCTTATGGACCAGCTTTCACAGCCATACATTGCAACTGGGCAAACCATAGCCCTGACTTTACGCACTTTTGTTGGCAGGATGACGTCTCTGCTTTTTACTATGCTATCTAGATTTGCCATAGCTTTCCTCCCCAGGAGCAAGCGTCTTTTAATTTCTTGGCTGCAGTCCCCATCTGCCACTGAAATAGTGACACTCATAATCTCCATATTTGTAGTTAACTACAATTACTCTTGAGCCAGGATCTAAAGCCCACTTGTCATACGAAGTCAATGAGTTCTCCAGAGTCCTTTTATTCATGTACTGATTGTATTTTTATCTCACCATTTTTCCTTTCAAGGAAATCAAGGCACCTTACATCTCCTCCATCATTTTATCCCCACAACAACAACCCTGTGAGGTAGGTTGGGCTGAGGGTGTGCAACTGGCCCAAAGTCCCCCAGAGGGCACCACGGCTGAGCGGGGACTGGAACCCGGATCGCCTGAGTCCCAGTCCCGCCCCCTAACCACTACATCGCACTGTCCTCGGCAGCGCAGATCCGGGACGCACCGACCCCCCTCCGGGACGGGCTGCAGCTCACCATACGTCTCCGTGGTGATGCGTCGCTGGGCGTAGGTGGCCAGACCCTCGCTCAGCCACATCTCCTCCCAGGTGGCGTTGGTGACCGCGTTGCCGAACCAGCTGTGGGCCACCTCGTGGATGACGTCGATGATGAGGAACTCCTCGCTCTCCAGGATGGAGGAGATGATGAAGGTCAGGCATGGATTCTCCATAGCCACAATGGGGAACGAGGGGGGAAGGAAAACGATGTCGTACCTGGGGAGGGACAGGAGGAAGGGCCGGCCCAGGTCACTCTCAGGACCTTGGAGCCTTGATTCCCAGAGCATGAGGCAAGGCACAGGAGGTGAGTGGAAAGAGGCAGCTTTCTTCCTGATCTGTGAGAGCAGCCAGGAAGTGCTGTCCTCTGGGCTTTTCTTCCTCTGAAACAAGGTAAATCAATCTGCTTTGCCTCTGTGTTCCTCCTTCTCCTAAACCTGCTCTCAATCTATTCCTGCTCCCCGCCCATGGCCCACTCCAGGCCGCTCAACGTCTTGGCACCCTGGCTGCTGCTTCCCAAGCCCTGCCTTGCCAGTCACCTTCCACACTCCCCTTTCCCTAGCAACAGTCTAATTCTCTCTGTCAGTCTTTCTCCAGCCTAGTGCAAGAGCCTCGTGCACTTATCTAATCTTCTCTCTCGAAACATTTAGGGTGTAAGTTGTATCATTTCCTTGCACTTTTTTCAGGGAGCTAATTTTCAGGGAGGTGGGCAGAGACCTGTTCTCCCCTGCAGAGGAAGGCAGAACGCGCTCCAACGGAGCAAAGCTCAGGGAGCCAAGGTTCCATTTGGATGCCAGGAAGCACTTCCTGACAGTCAGGACCCCGAGGGAGTGGAATGGGCTTCCATGAGAGGTTGTTGAGGCCCCATCGGTGCGGGTGTTCAAGGATGGGCTGGACGTGCACATGGTGGGCATGTCGTGAGCGGAGCCGGGGGTCAGACTAGATGGCCCGGGAGGCCCCTTCTGACTCGCTCTGTCTCTATGTTTCTGCGTTCTATGTTCCTATTTCCCCATCTGGCTGGAGTACAGCGCACAACCCACGCTCCACAGCCCCACCTGCCTTTCCACGCTTTTTGGGAACACCTGCCCAGTGTGGGTTCACGCGCAGGTGCCCATGAGGAGATCAGGTAGCGGCAGGCTACTGAGTGCATCCCAACTCACCTGCCCCACATGTAGGGGCCGTAGAGCCTCTCTGCAGCACTGAGCCAGCGCTCCACCCGACCCGAAAGTTTCTCGATCGCTGTCGGCAGCAGGCACGGCTCTGCCCACACTTTGCTCCTGCCATGAAGAATCCCGTAGTTACACCACTGAGGTCACGCACGTCCAGCATGAGCACTAGTGTCAGACACCTCCTATGAAATCTGTTTGTGGAAAACCAAGCTTGCACATCTATCGCACGTTTCCCAGAAGCCACGTGAGACATTGCAAGCCACGTGAGAGACACCTGCAAGCGCAGCCGGGGAGCGGTGTGCAAACTGCATGGCCCAGACAGGAGGCAGCATCGCTGATTCACCTCGCTGAAGCAGCCTTCCAGGTGAACACAGCAACACCCATCAAAGGTGGCTTACCTAGGGCCGATGTCCGCAGGTACAAGGTCCCCCGCCACCAAGGCCACCAGATAAGCGGGAATGGGGTACTCCATGTAGAACTGGTACACGCCCTCTTGTTCCTCGTAGGTGCTTTGGGTAGCACTCATCAAGACCTGCATACCCGCAGGAGCCTGGAAAAGAACATCAGCAGGAGGTCAGGACTCCCCCGCAAGCCGAGGAGACCGAGGGAAGCGGCAGGCCACACGGACTGCCTGCAGAATCAATCCATTGGCACCCAAACAATCCCAGTTGAGCAGATTAGCATGATTTCTCTTTCTCTGCAAACCTTTTTCTGGCTGCTGAAGCTCCAGCCCCAGTCTCTCGAAAACACTTCCTAACGTATCTCTGGTAATTGAAATGGCAGCCAAAATCAAATCCAAATGGAATGCCAGGCAGACGTGTTCGGAAAGGGCACTTACAACCCAAAACATCATTTTTGGTGCCTAGCCTGGAATGATGTGTGGTCTGTGGTGGGTGATCCACCGCTAATGTCTTGTGGACCTTAAAAACTGGCATCCTTAAAAGCCATCCTGATCCTCTCTGACAATTCCATTTTCAAGCAAGAGTTTGTGTCATGAGCAATTAACATGGGTTCAGACAGGCGTTCGGTCCTGAATGGGCAGTGCTGCTTGATCCCTTTTTGACACATTTGTGGGCTGCAGGGATTCCAGTTTTTAAAGAATGCCCTGCTCAAACAGATGGCGCTTAGGAAGACGGTGACATGAAGCGACACCGCAGTTCTTGATGAAAATGACTTAAGAGCTGTAAGGGAGAGTACCAAAGGACGCTGATTTCAGAGGAGATGCTGCCTCCTGAAGAAAACTCCCAAGTTTAGTGGTAGGGATAGAACCAGTGCAACATCTGGGCATAAAGGGCGACAACAGACCTTGCAGCCAAGGAAGGACGTTCTTAGTCAAACTCCTCCTGAAGCACCCCTCGTCTCAGAAGGACTCCTCATGTCTGTTCCGAGTCTCTCACCTCTCCACTTTGCAAAACGACTCTGGGTTCTATCCACTTTTTCAGGACCCTGCATGGTTTTATACATCTCTGTCATGTTCCCCCAAGCTCATCTTTCAATGCTACAAAGCTACAAGTGGTGTAAACTTTCCTCATGGGGGAGCTTCTTCATCTCCTTGATCATTTTGGTTGCCCGTTTCTGCCCCCTTTTCAGCTCCATGGTAAAATGGAGCATAGTATGTGCAGGGTACATGCAGCATGTACACTCTTGTAGGGCACAGCGGAGAGAGAGAGAGAGAGAGACAGAGAGACAAGCCTCCCAATCCTAGGAGCTGGGAAGACAAGTGGGAGGTTGCTGTACACTCCTCTCTCGTTCTGGGTCCTGCAGGTATCTGGTTTGCGACTGTGGGAAAGGTACGCAGGAGTTAACAGGCTTTTGATCTGATCCAGAACAGCTCTTCTCATGCTAAGAGCTCCCTACCTTGACAATAGCAGAGTAGGTAAATTTCACAGCTGGGGTGTCAAAGCAGGGGAAGAAGGAGCGGTTGCACACGGAATGGCCTTGGGTGAAGACAAACGGCTTGGAGTTACCATACGTCAGCTCTGGATCCAGCCACCAGATCTGTGGGAACAACAAGGGGGAGGCATGTGAAGAACCGGCCACAACAAAAACAAAGCCAGTAAGGAAGCAGCCATTGTTCATCAACATGTTTTCAGTAAGTTAGAATGAAGAAGATAAAGGAGGCAGGCAGGCAGCCAAGGAAAGCGTCACATCTTCACAGCTGGGACAGCTGGACGGTGTCCTCCTCCTCCACGACCACTCAGCAGCCATGGAAGACCAAGAGCCCTGCATGGGAGATGTCCCCCGGGGGGTGGGGGGACATCTTCCCAATAGAACTCGCTGCCCTGATGGAAGATACCCATCCATTCCTGAACACCTTTTGCCGGCAAAGTACAGCATCTTTGATTTTATGCGTGAGTGCTTTAATTGCTGTTGAGAGTTCCCAACATTGCCTTATCTTCCACAAGAATTTCAACTGTTTGCTTTATTAAGCCAGGAATTTTACTGACCCTAAGCTCTAGAGACCCTAAACTGAAGCCAGCGTTCACTCAGGTACCAAAAAGTCAACAGCTGGTTCTTCAGACCAGCCTTGCCTGTCCCGTTTCTGTACTTGGCACTCACTGGCCCCAGACTTTCCACAGCACATTTCTTGTCATGCTTCGTACGTCTGAAAACAATGCTTTTCTTTTACTTCTTCCTGGCGCTTCCCCTGGCAAAACAGAATAACTCTCCCTCCCTCCATACTTGATTTTGCATTATTGATTATTTCATATCTACACCTCCCTGCAGCCAAAGCTCTCTGGGTGCTTCTGTAGTAAATAAAGTGGCAAGTACATCACAGTATGTAAATACGCCTTTGGGACAGCATTAAAATGCAATGCCGGAGCAGCCGTGGCAGAAACACTGCTCACATACATGCCTGCTCAGCTCAGAACTGGATGGATCCAGATGGCCGTTTATCAACTGAGAACATGCCACTGTGTGCATGCAGACAACCAATAGCCCAGGCTCCGGGCAATGGAGGCTTTATCCTGCAATGAGCAAGGGACTGGACCCTCTGGCCCCTTCCAATGCTGGAAAGCAGCACATGTGAAGGGGATCTCGGGGTACCAGTCAACTGCCAGCAAAACATGAGTCAGCAGTATGATGCGGTGGTCAAGAGGGCAAACGCCACCCTTGGTTGCATAGCCAGAAGTGTGGCTTCTAGATCGAGAGAGGTGTTACTACCACTCTATACGACTCTGGTGCGCCCGCAACTGGAGTATTGTGCTCAGTTCTGGGCCCCTCATTACAGGAAGGATATAGCCAGGTTGGAGACAGAGTAGCACAGGGCCACAAGGCTGGTGGCCGGTTTGCAGGGGAAGCCGCATGAGGCGAGACTGAGGGAACTGGGTCTCTTCAGCCTGGAGAAGAGGGGACTCGGAGGGGATCTGTTGGCAACATATAGGTAAGTGAGGGGGTGTCACACGGAGGCAGGTAGAGACCTGTTCTCTCCTGCAGTGGAGGGCAGGACACACTCCAACGGAGTGAAGCTCAGGGAACCAAGGTTCAATTTGGATGCCAGGAAGTACTTCCTGACAGTCAGGACCCCGAGGGTGTGGAATGGGCTTCCACCAGAGGTGGCTGAGACCCCATCAGTGCGGGTGTTCAAGGATAGGCTGGACGTGCAAATGGGAGGCATGTCACGAGCGGAGCCAGCTGGAGCTGGGGGTCAGTCTAGATGGCCCAGGAGACCCCTTCTGACTCACTCTGTTTCTATGTTTCTATGTAACTCTACTATTCCATGATTCGATGGTGCAACTGGAATTGTCCTGGGGGTGCAGATGACATCGTCTTCCACTTGTAACCTTCCTTTGCTTTTACCACTGCTTTTTTAAAGGGGGGGTCTTTGTTCTAATCAGAAAAATAATCTGTTAAGGAAGGACAGACAGGATGGTGTCTTTGGATTAGCAGTACCAGAAGCGCGCCATCTGCCTGGGAGCAGCCCCAGGATTTCTTTCACCCTAGTAAATAGTGCAGAGGCGCGTATTACATTTCTGTGCTTAACCAGAAATCCGGGGGAATAACAGATCTCCCTCGTTCAGCCCAGATCAGTTACATGCACACTGGGACACTACTCCCCGTTTTGTAAAGCAATTGGACAGATTCTTGAGGGAGGAGGCTACCAGTGGCTGCCCGGCCTGCTGGCTCTGCGCCACCTCCTTTACCAGAAGCAGCGTGCCTGGCTCACCAGTTGCTGGGGAACGGGCCGGAGGTGGTCTTGCACCAATTCTGCTGGAGGGATCCGATGGGCAGCTGGCTTGCCACCGTGCGTACCAAGCGCTGGACTGGATGGGCCCTTGCTCTGGTCCAGCCTGCCTTTTTTATGTTCTGTGAAAGGCTGAGTAAAATAATCTTCACTGGAAGAGGTAAAAAGCGGCCCCATCCCACAGTCTTGTCTAAGCCACGACCGTTCGGCTTCCCTCACCATGCCTTCTGGCAGTCTCAGCACGTACCTGGCTTAGGGTGAATTCTGGCCAGTCAAAAGCATGCCCTTTTGGATTCAATTATTATTCTTTGTGTTGGGAAAAGTAACTCTCAAAGCATTCCAGCCAAGGACACTCGTGGCCTGCCTCAGTCTTCTCCTCTGGTCCAGCTGCATGCATCAGCGACCACTTAACCACTCTTCTCTCCGGGACTATTCGCTATTTGCGGCTTGAAAATTCCAAGCTCAAAATGGTGCATGGGCCACATGGCCGAATTCGAACACACCCATCTCATGAGCTCGTTTTGTTCAGCCTTGAATCTACAGATAGAAGACAAGCTGTCCAGTGCCTGGGTGTTTTCAGAGAAGGGTGTTTAGGCTTCCTGAGGAAGCCCTGCTCTGCACCGAGCCACACGAGAAGGAATGAACACGCACACAGTGTGTGCTTCACTCATTTGGGGAAACAGAAGGGAGGAGCGCAACGAACCAGACAGAAACTAATCCTGAGCTGTGTCAATATCTCTAATGAAATGGCACACAGGTCTCCAGCTGTCCTGACCATGGGAAGCCTTCCAAGATGCTACACAGACATTTTGCTGCCTCTTTTTAGAACCTGGGGGAGAAATATGGCTGGGTCCATTGTCAAAAGAAGAACGCAACAGCAAAGGTTAGAGGCGTAAGCCAAAATTGTGTGACTGGAAGCTCAAGGGAGTTTTTTTTTTAAATCAAAGCAACAATAAAATGCCTTGCCGTCTGCTAGATTAGCGCGCCAAGGGGAAATATAAGGGGAAGGAGCCAGCACAAGTGAGTACATCCTTCTGAAGCACAGTAAAATCTGCCCTATTTTGTCAACCTCACTTTTCCTTATTGTACGGGAAGAGAAGGGAATGCCAAGGTTTGCAGCACTGGAAATCTCAGACTGGAGATGTCCCCCAAAGGAATTCTTCCGGGGACAGAACTCAACGCCTAAGCCCTGACCCCTCAAGAAATCCCAAGATGATGTATGAGGCAACCTGGGATGCCTTGCAGGCCGGATTCAGACAGAAGGCAGAGCTTCTGCACCTCTAGAATCTGAAGTGAACGGAAAACTATCTAAGTGAACCCTGCATTGTCCAGTGATGTGTTTCACGAAGACAGAAAGGAGCTGATATAGTACAATATATGCAGCCAATCTATAGCTGTTACTATAGCAGCTACAACAGCTCAGACTATAGCTAAAGGGAAAACACTCTGTGGGACATGACAAAGGCCAGTAGTATTTTGTGAATCATGTAAAAGAACTCTTCAATAATATTAAGACAGGAGAATTAAAATATTCATCTTCTTACTTGGAAAGCACCACAACCTCAAATAGTTATTTCTTGCATAAAACTACAAAGATTGTTAAGGCTGCAATACTAAACACACTAACCAGGAAAGCAGCACTAGACAGCAGTATTTACATGCAAATAAACTTACTTTGATTTATATTGATACATAAAATAAATTTATTTATTTAAAACTTTTATATGCCGTCACCTCATGCCTCAGCATCTCCTTTATTATTGCAATTAAAGGGGTCCTGTCAGAAGGGAAATGGATCATAGAATCATAGAATAGTGGAATTGGAAGGGGCCATGAAGGCCATCGGGTCCAACCCCCTGCCGTTGCAGGACACCACGTTACACCATCCCACTCAGATGGCCGTCCAGTTTCTTTCTGAATGGCTCCAATGTGGGAGGGCCCACCACCTCTCTAAGCACCTGGTTCCACTGCCATATTGCTCTGACAGTGAGGAGCTTTTCAAATGGTCAAATCCTAACTTTGTTCCATCAAGCCACATCTGGACAACTTCTCTCTTAATCCCTTAATTCCAAAGTTTGATGAAGATTTTACCAGGACTTTACATCTGAATCTACACAATTGTTTCATTGCCACCCCTGCATTGCTGTGTCTTAATTAAAGAATGTGACCAGCTCATAGCCAGAGGCTCTGACAAGAAGCCTGACCACAAAGTGTCAACCAGGCGTTTCATAGCACTTCAAGCGCAAAGTCCTGAGAACTGCAGTTCTTTAAAAATGCATTCTAATTCTCTTGCTTAAGGAGAAAATGCTGGACGCTTGCAAGCAGCTTCTGCCACAGGCTAACAAAAGGGAGCCCAAGGCTTACAAATGGAGGACACTGCCAGCAGTCAGCACGGGTCCAGCGTCCTTGTTCAAATAGTCTTGTCGAAAAATCAAGTGCAGGATCAGGCACAATAACAGGGCGTGCAGTAGAGAATATTCCTGGGCAGTGGGATACTTGAGTTGCTAAGGCACATGGCTTAAGCTCAGTCTGGGGGCAAGCACCTAGTTCTTCATGTATAGATCCATAGATTGGTGAGTATTATCAATGGTAGGATGCGTCACAAGTCCCAAACCCTAAGGAAACACTGGCCTAGACATGATGGCAGAGTCTTTCCAAGTGAACCTTTTCCTTGGGCGATTTTTTCCTTGTATGATTAAAGGGTCCCAAAGTTTCCTGTAGAGAGCAAATACTGATGTGAGACACTGACCTTGCACAAAACTAAAATTGTGTGGCCAACGGCGATGCTAAGGCAACCCACAGAATCTGCGAGTGTTCTTCTTGAGAAGACCCAAAGATGAGCTTGCTAAGAGTGTCCCACAGAAAGTACTCCAACTCTGATTTGTAATGGTCCAAAGCTTAGCATCAGTGCCCTATTCCTGATTTATGCCGTGTAGTATCATTACACAACAATGTGTTGCAGAACATCATTGGCTTTGACTGAAAACCCGTTATGGATACAGGGTATATGAAAACTTATTTGAGGGCACAGGGGAATATAAACTTCAATTCCTTATTGCAACTGCTCAAATAGCTGTATCAGAATTTCACAGAAACAAGAACCAAGGAACTTGGAACTTCAACTATGTCCAGCCTCGTTGAGGGTTTATCTCTTCCATAGGTCAAGCAGCCTTCCCCAACCAAGTGCCCTCCAGGTGTTTCAGAGTGCAATTCCCACCAGCTCCAAGCAGCATAGCCAATACTCAGGGATGATGGAATCTGTAGTCCAAAATATTTGGAGGGTATCTGAGGAAAGATAGTTCAAAGGGTAGGATAACTGCACAGCTGTCCAACAATCCATCACAGCCAATCTGGGCTACAAACACACCTATAGATTTAATGCCACCACTTTAATGCTACAGTGACCTCCAGGGAATTCTGCGAACTGTACTTTGGAGAGGACGCTGAAAATTATGCCTGGCAATCTCTCAACTTCTCTCACATAACGGCCTTTCCTAACATCACCACCACTTTTGTTTGACTGAATCTTTCTGCAACAACGACTGTGTGGCCGTGGGATGGGTCAAAATCAGCACGGGGTTTGGTAGATATCTCACTTCCCCCTTGCACAAAAAAAACCAAGCGCCGTCAAAATCTCAGCATCTCTCAGAAGTCTAAGTTGGGGAGATCAAAGGAAGCAGCAAGCATATCATACATGGAAATTCTTTTTTTATTCTTATACTTCATGATCTGTCCCAAGCAAGCACGATGTAATGCATTATAAACCCAGTACAACGAATGATACTGAAATCCGAACACTGAAGTAAATCCTGTATGGATTACACTCATCTTAGAACAGTTTATTCCTATACATGACTACACCAAAGTCTGTAATCAAAACCCAAGAAAACTGAAGGAGCAGTCCTATGGCCCCTATTCAGCATTTGGGAACGAGGGCAGGATACTTTGAATTCCCAAATCTGAAGCTGGAGACAGTGTGCCAAGGTCAGGGGTGGGAATCGGAGTTCCCCTCCCTCTCACAACCAAGGCAGAAAGACCCAGTCTGGCTGCTTTCCAAGGTCAGGAAAACAACATCGTGATGGGGGAAGGGGCTGTTTCAGGGGGCAGGGAGGGCAAGAAGCTAGAGAGGCCGGGATACGAGCTGCCTCAACACCTCGCCAGCCTCCTTCCTTCCTTCCTTCCTTCCCGATCAGAAGCGCTCGCTCGAGCTAAATGGGCAAACCCCCCCCCATCTAGTGAAAATGCAGCTGGGTGCGGGGAGAACAGGGCAATGAGTTAAGGGGCTCACAAGCATCAGCACAGGTCTGAAGCCTAAATAGTCTGACTGGGTCTTCTGCCCGAGCAGGGAACCATAATGAGCCCAAGGGGCACAAGTTAGGCATGTCGCGATAGGGAAAAGTTCTCCAACTCCCAGGGTTCGCTGGGAGCTGCAGGGCATTTCTCTGCCTAGACGGGCTTGGAATCGAGAAGCCAGGCGAAGGCGACTGTGCCATGAGGACTAGCGCGCTGGTTAGCACCCTTTCGTGTGAACCGACCGGGCTGCGCTTCCCCGCAGGAGCAGCTGTCACTGCGCCGCGGGCGCCGGCACCCAGCACAGCGCGCCCCCGGCTCCCCGGGCGTCCCCGCGGGCACGGTTACTCACCGCCGGCGCATCCACCGTGATGTAGCGGATGATGACCTGGAAGGGCTGGTGCGGCTCCAGCGACGCGGGCAGGGAGATGGTGAGCGCTGAGCCGTAGTCCGTGAAGGGGTCCACGCGGAAGAGCAGCGGGCAGGGCGCGGCGGCGGGCGGCGCCCGCTCGGGGAAGGTGGGCACGGGCGGCGGGGGCAGCTCGGCGGGCGCG